TCCCTGTCACAGCTCGTCTGGTCTTCACCAAAGCCCTTCTGTGTCCTGTCACCCCCCCCCCCGGCACGTGCACGAGAGCCGTGACACCGTCCTCTCCATTACAGCGTCTTCCTGGCACGAGAAGTCGCCAGAGATCAGAAGCTGCTGGAAGTCCACACGCAGGGGCACCGGTAAAGCAGAAATGTTGGCCACAGGAGTGCCAGCAGGATGGGCTGGTCTTGCAGCGCCCTCCAGGAGAGAGGCTGTTTCCTGCCTTGGAGGCTCTGTCAGAGAGGATCCCTGGGCCCAGAGGGTCCTGGTGAGGACATGTGACCAGGGTGCCCTTGGCCACACCCCTCAGACCCTACAGGGACATCTAGCACAGCCCTGAGACGAGCCGGCTGCACCCGTGTATTCCCTAATGTCTTCCCAGCAGACTGTGAGCTCTCCGAGGGCAGGGTGCATTCCGAGGTACTGTGCGCCCCAGCACCCCGCGGGAGCCCAGGCTCAGAGTGCAAGCTCGGAGTCGGTCTCCTGCACAACTGACATGTGACTGAAGACATTCGAATCCTAGAATGCAGGCTGACTTTGGCCAACACAGCACATTAGTAGGACTTGAGAGACAAAAATGTTGCGGGGGGAAAAGACCAGGGGGCCGATGTGTTGAAGAAAGTACTGAGACCAGTTTGTCCTTCTTGTTGCATTACCTGCACATCTCTGGTGGGCGCGGGCTTTCTCCCACTCCCTCTGCTGTTGCAAGGACCATTCTCTGTTTTGTTCCTCCTGGAATTTCTTCCTCTCGCAGAAGTTTAAATCCTCTCCCATGAATCTCTGCATTCCTGATACTGTATTCCGAATATCATTATCTGACTGCCTAGCTGGAAGATCTTTCCTAAGGGCTAGGGGGTCTGATAGGTCAAATTCACGGCGTGTTTCTGGCCTCTGGAAGTGCTGCTGGAAGTCATTGATGGCTTTACAGAGGCTTCTCTTATCTTGCCTTTCCCGGCCTTCCAATATGCATGTGATTTTGTCATTTTGCCTCATTTCAGCAGCTGGAAGGAATAGAGCATATCCGTAAGATTAAGGTTAGGAGAAAAAATAAATTTGAATCCACTTTAAAAAATGATTTTTAGTGATTCTAAAGTAATATAAGCCTTTGAAAAGGTAACACAGCCATCAAAGAATTAGTATTCTGAATATATAAAGAGTCCCTACAAATCAGTTTTAAAAAACCAAACAGGGACGCCTGGGTGGCGCAGTTGGTTAAGCAACCGACTCTAGATTTCAGCTCGGGTCGTGACTGATCACGATGCAAGTCAGGCTCTGTGCTCCATGTGAAGCCTGTTTAAGGTTCTCCCTCTCCCTCTGCCCCTGCCCCTCCTCATGCATGCACTCTCTCAAAACAAAACAAAACAAAACAACGCACCAAACAACCAAAGCAAAAAATAGGCCAAGAATAGGATCAGGCAAATCACTATAAAGAAACCTGAATGATCAAAAGGCTTCTGAAAAGATGACTGGCCCTTACAAGATGGGAACCATCTGAGAAACTGGCAAAATATTTAAAATGTTAATAATAGCATATATTAGTAAGGACATTAGTAAGGATAGTAAGGAAACAAGATTTCTCATTCACTGCCTGGGAGAATGCAGCTTGGTACACTTATAACTTTGGAAAGCAATTTGCCAATAAATATCCCATAAAATTGAAAACATGCACACCCAATGACCTACCATTTCTACTTCTAGGTATCTCTCACCTATGTACACTAGGGACATGATACATGGATAGTCACTGCAGCATTGTTTGGAAAAAATCTAAATCAGCCATTGGTAGGGGAATGAATAAAGAAATTGTGGTTAATTCATATAACAAAATATCATAAGATAATTAAAATGAACATTCTACATGTAGATCACTGATTAATTTTTTTAAAGATTTTATTTATTTATTTGTCAGAGAGAGAGCACAAGCAGGGGAAGCTGCAGGCAGAGGGAGAAGCAGACTCCCTGCCAAGCAAGGAGCCCAACTCGGGACTCCATCCCAGGACCTGGAGATCATGATCTGAGCCAAAGGCAGATGCTTAACTGACTGAGCCACCCAGGCATCCCTAATTTTATTTTATTTTTTTTAAGATTTTATTTATTTGAGAGAGAGAGAGAGAGAGAGAGAGAGACTGTGCAAGTGGGGCGGGAGGGCAGAGGGAGAGGAAGAGAAGCAGACTCCCTGTTTAGCGAGGAGCCAAAATCAAGAGTCGGTCACTGAACTGACTGAGCCACCCGGGCACCCCATGACTGATTAATTTTAAAAATATGTTGAATAAAAAAAGTTGCAAAAGGATCCATTCAACGTATTTATGTAAGATGTAGGTGAAATTTTAAAACACCCACACAAAATTGTATCTTAAAACACACACAAAAATTTTTATATCATCATGAATATGTATATAAATAGTACAATATTACAAGAAACCTGCATGGAAATGATGTACCTGTCTGAGCAGGGAGGAAGAGGGAAGATGAGATGGGGGAGTGGTCTATCTATCTCTAAGTATACACACACATATGTAGGGTTTATACGTATTTATGTATATATTTAAACATTTATACATTTTTATATATACATTATAGCATTTATGTATCTATAACTATAGATACACATACATACATACATATACAGAATTTAATTCTCAGAAAGAATTCTTAAAATCAGGTATCTAAAGCCAGTTTGGCAAAATATTAACATCTAATCAGGTAGTAGGTACGTATGTACCTGTCATATTGTTCTTGTAAGTTTGAATAATTTTTAAACATAACATAGAAAAAAGGTGAACTGTTCAGAAACTAGAGAAGAAAATAAACTTCACTCGTATTCTATCATTCCAACATCACCACTGCTTACATTTTGGTATATTTTCTTTCTGTCTTTTTCTAAGCTTATTTTTTTTAAATATATTATGGTAGCCCATGGTATATACAATTTTGCATCCTGCTTTTTTCTATTTAAAAAAAAATCCTGATAGGGGCGCCTGGGTGGCTCAGTCAGTTGAGCATCTGACTCTTGATATGGGCTCAGGTCATGATCTCGGGGTCATTAGATTGAACCCCCAGTTGGGCTCCACACTGGGCGTGGAGTCTGCTTAAGATTCTCTCCCTCTGCCCCTCCGCCTGTTCTCTCTCTCAAATAAATGAATATGTCTTTTAAAATTTTAAAAATCCTTATGGTGCTTTGAAAAAGATAAGCTGGAATTGTTGCACCTGATGTGGGAAAATGAATTCTATTTGAAATTTTTATCTCAGAGCTACCACGCTATCAAATCTAGCTCCGAGTCAGCGCAGGGGTGTGAGTTGGGATTGTGTGTGTGTCATTTAGTGCAAGCAGTGGTCCCCAGGAGAGGGTCTGGAACTTTTGGGCAGAGAATGGTGTGTGTTTAGGGTTTTTCATATCCAGTTTTTAAAGAAAACCAATAAAACGTACATTTACCCTCAAAATATATTTCCTACAACCCACATAGAATTCAATATCTGTTTTCCCTTTAAGAGAGAAAGAATCAGCACATCAAGTTACTTAAACACAAGCCACTGTGACATTTTAAAAGGAGGAGGAGTGGGAAAATGACAAGTTTTACGTATTTGAAGACATGAGGACTGGGTCGAGAGGTACACGGCCCTAAACTGCTAGGGAGGCTTCAGGAAATGCTCACCAAAAGTTTCATGTCTAGCTTTTTCAGTTGCTTCTTTTATCTTCTGGTCATGAACCTGAACATCCCAGGCTTCTGGGTCTCCCTAGGAATGGAAAACAAGGGGAGACAAGTTACAGCCAGATAATTTTAGTCCATCGATGACAATCCTACTTACCTTTTTTAAGCCTTGTTCCACTGTTGTCTTAGGTACACTTCAGGTCTTTTCATACCTGGATGCCTTTGCTTATAGTTGGTTCTTCAGCCTGTCCCCAGAGCTTCCTTCTCCCTTTCTCTTAGTCAATAGATACCTTCAGAACACAGCTTAGGCAACACCTCCTCTGGGAAGCCCTCTCTGATTTCCTTTCCTGGCCCCAGTCTGTGCTCCCCTGACACCCCGTGCTCCCCTCCCTCACGACACTGATTCCACTGCATGTTAATGTGGCCATTTTAATGCTTGCCTCTCCTCTCCTCCATGGGCCACGAACTCTGCAAGGTCGGGCAGGGATTGCCATATTCCCCATTTGCTGGGACCAGCCCAGGCTTGCCACAAAAGAGGAACGCCACCGGCATTTGTCAAGTGGATAGACTGGAAGGAGTCCCTGGCAGCGTAGAAAATCTGTCTCAGAGCAAAGAGACCCACGCTCGGGTCTCTGTTGAGCCACTCAGGGCAGGCAAGCCCCCTCCCTGCCTGCTGCAGGGCTCCGTTTGCCTGCCCCGCAGGTGAGAGGGTGCAGTATGGGGTTTGCGACGGTCTTTCCTGTCCTCAGCAGTCAATACAACGAACCGGTCTTCCCCAGCACAGCTGGTGCTGTTTGCAGCTGTGCCCGCATCAGCTGTTTCACTGCAGGGGTTCGCCTCCGCTGTCCCGCCGCCCGCCTGCCTCGCCACCCCCCTGCACACGCCCTCCCGGTCCGGGGACCTCACCCCGAGGATCCTGTTCCTGGCGTTGAAGATCCGTTTCTGCCTGCACAACTCGTTATGCCTCCTCTTGCCCAGAGCCAAGTACTGCTCCAGGTCCCTGGGCTGAGCTAGCGCCATGACTGGAAGCTGCGAAGAAATCCTAGGGGGGTTTTCAGGCATGCGAGATGAAAAAGGGAAAAGACAAAAATAAAACTAGCTGTAGCCTAAGCGAGGCTGGTTCCGCTGCGATACGCGCGGGCTCCGCAAGCTTCCCGTCCGGCTTTCTGCGGCCTCGGCGAGGGCGCGGAGCCCGGTTTCCTCGAGACGTCAACAAACCGGTTGCCTAGGAACAGCGCGGCGCCCGCTGGGCCCCCGCTCTCCTCTCGCGAGACGCCGCGAAGCCCTTCCCGCGCTTTTCCTGCGGGCGTGCGGGGAAGCCGCTTGAGGCGCGGAGGGCGCCGCCATGGGCCACCTGGAGCTGCTGCTCGTGGAGAACTTTAAGTCGTGGCGGGGCCGCCAGGTCATCGGCCCTTTCAGGAGGTTCACCTGCATCATTGGCCCCAACGGCTCCGGTAACTGGGACCCGAACGCCTCTGCCCGCCCCGCTCGTCCAGGCCGCATTTTGCCAAGGGGGACGTGAGGGAGGCCTCGCGTGCGGGACTGAGGCCGGGGCTGCCCGCGGGTCTCCGCCGGCCTCACCGCAACCCCGACGCCCCGCGACCCGCCCTAGACCCTCACCCTCTCCTCGGGACCCTGACCCTCACCCTCTGCCCTCGCCGCCGGGTGCCCAGTCTCGTCCTCCGGCCCCCGGCCCTCTCTCCGCCGCCTGGACCCTAGCCCCCTGCCCCCGGCCCCCAGCCCCCGGCCTCCGCGGCCCGCACCCCAGACCCTGACCCCCCCCCCCCCCCCCCCCCCCCCCCCCCCACGCGCCGGCCCCTCCACCCTCTGCCCCCGCCCCCGTCACCCTCGGCCGCCCGGCCCTCATCCTCACCGCCAGCTGCCCACCCTCGCCCTCTGCCGCCGGCCCCACCCTTTGCTGCCCAGCCCTCCGCCGCCGGGTGCCCACCCACGTCCTCTGCGCAGCCCCCAGCCCTCTGGCACCTGGACCCCGACCTTCGCCCTCCGCCCCCCTGTACTCAGCCCTCCACCGCCAGGTGCCCACCTTGCCCCGTGCTGCTGGGCCACGACCCCCACCCCCAGGTTTGACTAGGACCCTCCTCTCCTTTGCTCTCTGGCTCCCGGTGCTTTGGGAGTTTCTTCTCCAGCCCTGAGCCCTCGTCACCTCTTGTCATGAGCATGGCTGGCATAATTACAAAGCCGGTTCCGGAGTCCAAACTCGGTGGCATTTCAGCACGTGTTTAACTTGGCTCCTTACACAAACAAAGCCCAAGACAGGTCACAGAAAAACGAGACAGAACAGGAGGTGGGAAGTTCACCTGCGCATCCTGAAGTTAGTCTGCGAGTTCCCGGTTGAGATGCGGCCTGGGTCAGGGTCGATACTGGGCACTTACTGCCTGTTGTGTTCAAGTGGTGAGGGGTCAGGGTCGGTGCTGGGCACTTATGCCTGTTGTGTTCAAGTGGTGAGGGGTCAGGGTCGGTGCTGGGCACTTAGTTGTGTTCAAGCGGGGAGGGGTCTCTGCTCCTTTGGAAGATCGGTGGGGCGGAGCCTTCCCCCTCTGCCTTTTTGAAGTGGTCAGACACAGAGGGGCCAGTGTCTGAGAAGTCTGACGCTGCTGCAAAAATCCTCTTTTTGAAGGGATTTAATCAGTCTTAGGCCTTTGTAGACCTCCCTTGTTTCGGCTGGTCGTCAGTTCTGAGTGAGTCATGAGCTGGTGCTGGTCTAGGTAACATCTGGTCTTAGCTGCAATGCTCTTACCGCTACCTCATTGTTTGACCCAGGCCCCCGCTTGACAGGGGTGACTCGGTCCTGCTACACCTTTCCTCTCCACCCCCTTCCTTTTCTCATCCAAAGATTAAGGGAGAGAGAGAGCTGAAGGAAATAATTGGTTTTAAGGAGCCTAAACAACTGTTTGGATTCAATCAACCTTCTACACAGGAATTTTGTAATAATAACGGCATTCGTGGAGCTTTTACCAAGTTTCTGGCACCCCTATTTCAGTGCTCACAAGTGGGTGTTATCCCATTTTGTAGTATAGGCGACTGAGGTTCAGAGGGGTCAGATGACTCTTCAAGGTCACCCAGGAAGTGGCAGAGCCTGGACTTGAGTTCAGGCCTGGCCAGGCTCCCTACGGCACTGTGGTAAGATCCATAGATGTAATGACCCCAGCAGGCGGAGGGCCTAAAATGATAGTTACTTTGAGATTTTTCCTAACTCACATCTTCTTTGTGGCTCTCTCAGGCCAGATTGATTCTGTTATCAAAAAGACATTGGAAAAAGTAAGGGTAAGAATACAATGAGTATATCCACTCGTTTATCAGGTTGGTAGTCCCACCATTGGTTGATTTTCACTTTTTAACTGGTGATTGTGTGAAGAGTTGCTCAATTATATTTTGTACTTCCAACAGTGTAATATTTTGAATGAGTATTTGGGTAAAGTCTTATACTGCAGTCAGCCTAAATTATTTGCTCACTGCCGTTCAAGATCCGGATAAAGTGGTGTTTTGAACTTTTTTTAAACTAGTGCCAAACGTAAGTTTCAAAATAATCTTATTTTCTTAATTTAACAATACGTATCGTGATTAACAATATATCTTTTTTTTAAAAGATTTTATTTATTTATTTGACAGAGAGACAGCGAGAGAGGGAACACAAGCACGGGGAGTGGGAGAGGGAGAAGCAGGCTTCCCACGGAGCAGGGAGCCCCGATGCGGGGCTCGATCCCAGGACCCTGGGATCATGACCTGAGCCGAAGGCAGATGCTTAACAGACTGAGCCACCCAGGCACCCCTCGTGATTAACAATATATCTTAAGGTTATTGTGAAAATGCCTTTACAACTTCCTCTTGTCCCACATGCCCTGGAAGTTCCATTCCCCTCCTGAGAATCACTGGTAACCCAGAGACTTGACTTAGAATCATACAAAGCCAGTTCATGGATTATTTCAGCATTACCTTTAATATCGTCTCTCCACAACAACAATTTCTGGTTTACTTACTGCTGAATTTTTCATGGGCTATTCACATTCTCCTATACAATGGCCAAAACTCAGTATAATACTGATCCATGACTAATTTAATGGGTGATACTCATTTATATTCATTTGAACACTTGTTCATAAATCATCTTTTTAAAAATCTTACAGAATTACCCATTTAGGTAGATTTTATTAAACCAATTGATAATTTTCTGTTATACTCACTTTCTCTTAAACTTCAATTTAGCTAGTTGTCATTCTTTTTGTGATAATTTCTTATTGCTACCACCTGTCAAAATTTGACATGTTCTCATTTGTTTTTAGTAAATCTAATGTTGGTTTTTTTGTAGGTAGTGGGAAAATTTCATCTTTAATCTTAACCTTGATGTTTTCCACTCAAATTTAGCAAATAGTTTTTGTGTATATACAGTATTAGAAGCAGAAGAAGATACGTAGAATAAGACAGGTTCTGCTCCCGAGGCATTGGGAGTATAAGAAAATGACACACTTATTGAAATAGAAGTCCCGATAACACTGTTTATGGAACTTTAAGCAAGGAAAAATTCTAGATCTGATTTAGGGAGGTATGGACAGGAAGAGGTAAAGATAAGGAAAGGTTTTCTAGAGGACTTACCATTTGAGCTGGCCCAAAGAGTAAAGAATATTTTTCTAGCGATTTGTGAGTCTGTTTGTGGGACAGTTAATAGCCCAAATTGTCAAGAATGTAGTGCATGTGTAGGGGAGCAGCCGTGTATAATGTTGGAATCCTATTGGGTAAGTACTTGCCAGGGTGATATATTTAACTTTATGGAAAAAATAGACTTTGAAGCAGGGACTGTTTAGCAGGGAAGTTCCATAAGTGTGCCTGAGTCTAAGGCTATCCTCTCCACTTGTGATTTACATCCTGCTCCCTCCTCAGTTCTTTGCTTCTGTGATTATCATTCTCGTTTGGATTGTATCTTCCTCCCTTACTGGATAATTTTCATTAGCAATAATACATGCCTTATTAACACTCTTATGACATAGGGTGGATAGTTATATGAAAAGAAAGTATAGTACAATGTTAACTGTAGAATTTAGTGGTAAATATATGGGTGTTTACTATGAAATTCTTTCAACTTTCTTGTGTGTTTGAAAATTTTATAATGAAATGCTTGGGGAAAAGCCCTTGAACTTCACTGTCTCTGTAGGCTGTTGCCCCATTTTATCAGTACAGTAAAACTCTGAACCATCCTCAGTGCTCTTGACTCAGTTTTCAGTCCCAAGCTCCAATGAAATGACACTTATCTAGGTCACCTTTGACCTACATCTTGTAAGAGTCCGTAGCCAATTTCCTTCCTCATCCTGTTTGACTTATCAGTGCTATTTCATTCGTTTAAAAATAATGAAATGCCTAGTATGTGCCATGCACTGTTCTCATCAGTAAACAGATAAAAATCCCTTCCCATATAGAACTTATGTTCAAGTGCACAGAGACAGCAAAATATGAGAAGTATATAGAATATTAAAATGTTAAGTATTAAGAAGAAAAATAGAAACAGGAGGGGAATCAGAAATGCTGGGGTTGTTTTTAAAGAAGTTGGTCAAGGGAAGGTCTTGCTATCTAGGTTGCATGGCAGGTCACATTTCATCTCCCCCTTGAGCCTCTTTGCTCTTCTGACTCTGTATCCAACTAGGTTTTCTCCTGTTTCACTGGCAAGCCTTCAGTGATTGGCTGCTTCTCCCCTGGGTCTCTTAAGCACTGGAGTCCTCCCACCCCCTGGAAATATATCCTCTGTCTGTGTCTACCCTCTGTTCTTTTCCCAGGTGATCTTATTCAGTCCCATAGCTTCAAATGCCATCCTTACGCTGCTGACTTTCAAAATTATATATCTAGGGCTATAATATTCAGCAATTTTTTTTTGCTATTTATAGGAGACATATGAAATAATCAGGGGTGCCTGGCTGGCTCCGTTGAGTTCAAGCCCCACATTGGGCATAGAGATTACTTAAAAATAAAATCTTAAAAAAAAATACTATAATCAGAAAGAACAGTAAATTTCCTCTCCCCTACTTCGCCCAAACTTGTTTCTTCCAAGGTCTTACCTGCTCAGTAAGGGGCACCATTTGCACATTCATTCAGACCAGATACCCAGAGTAATTCTTTATTCCTCCTTCTATACCCCACATCCCTCATCTAATCTTCTGTAAAACCTAATAACTCTACCTCTCAAATACATCCTGAATCCAGTTGTTTCTTGCCACTTTTCGCTGCTATCACCCGGTCAAAGCTGCTAGAGCTCTCATTTGGACTATTGCTATAACTTCCTAACATGTCCCTCGGCTTTCTTTCTTGTCTCTTTGCAATTCATTCTCACAGCGTCAGATTGAGCAGTTAAAAGAACAAACTAAAAAAGTAAATCTATAAATCTGAGCACTGCCCAGCTTAAAACTCTCCAGTGGCTTTCCCCTACACTTGGAATAAAATCCAGTATTTCTTACTATGATCCACAAAACCCTTTATAATCTGGCCCCTGTGTATTTCTCTTCTCTAATATTCTCTTCCCCCATATTTACTATGCTCTAGTCAGAAATGCTTTTTTTTTTTTTTTTTTTTTTTTTGCTTTCCTTACATAGACCAATCTTATTTCTGTTTCAGGGTCTTAGCATTTGCTGTTCCTTGGACTTTAGATTGCTTTTCTCCCAGAGTTCCAAGTTCCATATGGCTGCCAACTAAATGAATTCTCCTTCATCCTTATAAATTCTCCCTGTCACACCCAGAACATTACCAGTCTGGGCCAGTTCTACTACCTTAATAATCTTGTCCTCTTCCCTCTGTTCGCACAACTATCACTGTTTTCAGGCTCTCATCATTTCTTCCTTGGATTAATGGAGTAATCTTTTAGTTGAGTTCCCAACCTTTGGTCTTACCCTACTTTAATCCACGTGCCACACTGTTATCTCAGTAATCTTCATCTGTTCCCACAAGAAAAATCAATTCTATTTCTTTTTTTTAAGATTTTATTTATTTTTTTATTTGAGAGAGAGAGAGAGCACATGAGAGGGGGGAGGGTCACAGGGAGACGCAGACTCCCCGCTGAGCCGGGAGCCCGATGCGGGACTCGATCCCGGGACTCCAGGATCCTGACCTGAGCCGAAGGCTGTCATCCAACCAACTGAGCCACCCAGGCGCCCCCATTTTATTTCTTGATAGATGAGGAAAGGCATTTGAAAAAACTCAATACCTAAAAGGTTGATGGGTTCAAATTAAACATTTTTGATTAGACTCCCCTCATAGGTGATGTTGTATACCTCACATTGTATTACATCACATAATATCTATTTGTTTTACCACTAGTGGTGCTAAGATTGACCCCTGGATTAGGGTGGTGACAGTGATAACTCCGCTGTACAATTAGTTTTTCCCTTCTAACTAGTCTAGTGTTCTAGTATTACTAGTGTTACTTTGACATTAGGCAAATGTTCCTTATCCACCATTTACCCAAATGTTTTTTTAAATTTTATTAAGTTTTTAATTTTAATTCCAATATAGTTAACATACAGTGTTATATTAGTTTCAGGCCTACAGTATAGTGATTCAGCAATTCTATACATTACTCAGTGCTCAGCATGATAAGTGTACTCTTTAATCCCCATCGCCTATTTCACCCTTCCCCCGACCATCTTCCATCTGGTGACCATCAGTTTGTTCTCTATACTTAAGTATCTGTTTCTGTTTCTTTTTCTTTTTTTGATCTGTTTCTTGGTTTGCCTCTTTTTCCCTTTTGTTTTGTTTCTTAAATTCCACATGAGTGAAATCATGGTATTTGTCTTTCTCTGACTGAATGACTTCGCTTAGCATTATATTCTCTAGCTCCATCCATGATGTTGCAAATGGCAAGATTTCATTCTTTTTTTAATGACTAATACTGCACTGTAAATACATACCCCATCTTCTTTATCCATTCGTCAGTTGATGGACACTTAGGCTGCTTCCATATCTTTGCTATTGTAAATAATGCTGCTATAAACTTCGGGGTACCTGTATCCTTTTGAATTAGTGTTTTTGTTTTCTTTGGGTGAATACCCAGTAGTGTCATTACTGGATCACAGGCTAGTTCTATTTTTAACTTTTTGAGGAACCGCCATACTGTTGTCCACAGTGGCTGCACCAGTTTGCATTCCCACCAGCAGTGCACGAGGGTTCCTTTTTCTCCACATCCTCACCAACACTTGTTAGTTCTTGTGTTGTGGCAGGTGTGAGGTGATAGCTCATTATAGTTTTGATTTGCATTTCCCTGATGATGAGTGATGTGCAGCATCTTTTCATGTGTCTGTTGGCCATCTGTGTCTTCTTTGGAGAAATATCTTCATGTTGTCTGCCCATTTTTTAATTGGATTATTTGCTTTTTGGGTGTTGAGTTGTATAACTTCTTTATTTTAGATACTAATCCTTTATTGCGTATGTCATTTGCAAATATCTTCTATTCAGTAGGTTGTCTTTTAGTTTTGTTGATTATTTTCTTTGCCATGCAGAAGCTTTTTATTTTGATGTGTCCCAGTGGTTTATTTTTGCTTTTATTTCCCTTGCTTCAGGGAACCTATCTAGAAAAATATTGTTACAGCCAGTGTCGAAGAAATTACTGCATTTGCTATCCAAATGTTTTTTTTTTAAGATTTTATTTATTTGACAGAGAGAGACACGGCAAGAGAGGGAACACAAGCAGGGGGAGCAGGAGAGGGAGAAGCAGGCTTCCCGCTGAGCGGAGAGCCCAATGCGGGGCTCGATCCCAGGACCCTGGAATCATGACCTGAGCTGAAGGCAGACACTTAATCACTGAGCCACCCGGGCGCCCCTAAATGACCATTGCTTAATTATCTTTCAGTATCCCTTTTTGCAAATGCAAGCAAATATATATGTATTGTTATTTCTAGCCCCTCAGTTCTTTATGCCAAAGTTTATATTTAGTTTTTTACAATATATGCTGTTATAAACTCTTTTTTTCTCTTACTACATCCTCTTCTGTCATCTTTCTGCTGTGTAATTCTCCATTGGCTGCTATACAGTTATTACAAGTATTCCTTTGATTTCTAGACACTTGAGTTGTTTCTGATTTGTTAGAAAAACCTATAATGAATTGCATAACTGTATTTTCCATTGTATAGTTGTACACATATTTCAGGGACGTAGATTTCTGGAAGTGGAATTGCTGGCTCAAAAGATGAATGGATTTAGATAAAGGCTTAGTATCCAAAATATTTAAGGAAGTTATACAACTCAACACCCAAAAAGCAAATAATCCAATTAAAAAATGGGCAGACAACATGAACAGACATTTCTCCAAAGAAGACACACAGATGGCCAACAGACACATGAAAAGATGCTGCACATCACTCATCATCAGGGAAATGCAAATCAAAACTATAATGAGCTATCACCTCACACCTGCCACAACACAAGAACTAACAAGTGTTGGTGAGGATGTGGAGAAAAAGGAACCCTCGTGCACTGCTGGTGGGAATGCAAACTGGTGCAGCCACTGTGGACAACAGTATGGCGGTTCCTCAAAAAGTTAAAAATAGAACTAGCCTGTGATCCAGTAATGGCACTACTGGGTATTCACCCAAAGAAAACAAAAACACTAATTCAAAAGGATACAGGCACTCCCTCTGCCTTTCCCGCCCCTCTTGCCCCTCCCCCACTCCTGCATGTTCTCTCTCTCAAATAAATAAATAAAAATCTTAAAAAAAAAAAAAGGCTCAGGCCTGCTGTTTAACTTTTCTGTACCACCACCTCCTACCAATCATAAATATTCTAGCAACCTTATTGTCTGTGAGAATATCTTGGATGTAGTTAGCCATTTTTAAAAGTATGTGATAGTTAATATTCATAAAATGAGAATAACTGAAATTCAGAGATGATTTGCCATAGTGTAATATTTAATAATGGAAGAGAGTTGGGGTTTATCCCCTTATTTAGATCCTTAAATTTAGGCCACTCAATACTCTACCCTAGCTGCATAGAAGAAACCAGTGATCTACATAAAATTGTTCAGTCACATGCATCTTAAATATAGACGAGGCAGTACTATTGAAACGTGTATTGGCTATATTTCACTTCCATTGGTGGCCTGGTTTATTTGACTCTGGGCAAGGTTTTTTATTATTAAGAAGGAATAACTTTTTCCTCTCTCTTTTCTTTCCCAGGAAAATCTAATGTAATGGATGCACTTAGTTTTGTAATGGGAGAGAAAACAGCTAATTTAAGAGTGAAAAATATTCAAGAACTCATTCATGGAGCACATATCGGAAGACCTGTCTCTTCTTTTGCAAGTGTGAAAATTGTGTATGTGGAGGAAAGTGGAGAAGAGAAAACATTTACAAGGATCATCCGAGGTATTTTTTTGGTAGATAATTGCTTATGAGTCATTTGATTTTTCAAAAGTTAAATCAGATCATCTGTTTTTCTTCTTTTTTTGAAGGGTGTGATTTGTTAGTCCACTGGCATAGCAAACTAGAGATTTGGGTTTTTTCCCCCCTCTTAGATGGCAAATCTCAGAAGCAAGTAATAGAACCTGTTTGATTCTCCACTAAGAGTCTTCTTTAAGCAGATGGATTTGTTCATATTTCCCTGCTGTCAAATAGCATTTTTCTACCTGGTTATTAGGTTAAAATGAAGGAGGTTCTCTTGGTATGTGTATCTAGTTTTCTTAGTGATGAACTGATTATATGTATATTTTTGGTTTGTATTGAAAGTTTTTCTACCACCAAATAGCAACTTGAGTGAAATATTTGAATTTGTATTTTGTAATTATTCAGGAAACAGGGATTTCATGAATAAACCCGTTTCCTGAATAAGCAAGATTGAGAGTTGTTTACGTGTATCTTTTCTCTATGCTCAGAGTTTATAGAGCCTCCATAAAATAGGTATGTCTTGGTTTTGTTTTTTTGTTTTTGGTATTTCATTCTGGTGCACTAGAACATGGTCTTAATGTTCTAATGTATAAATATTGTCTTATTAACTTTCCCCAGATTCAGTCACTGGTAATTCTGGAAATACTTATACCTTAGTGTCTAACTTAAGTATTTCACCATATTACCACATAGATGCCTTTATTGGTGAGTTTTCTCACTTCCTTTGGGTTTTTATTTAAAAGTCTCTGTTACAGTAAAGATTCCCTAGCGCACTCTATTTAATAAATCATCATAATTTATGTTTTCCCATCTTTATTGAGGTATAATTGACAGGTAAAAATTGCATGTATCTAGGGGCTCCTGACTGGCCTAGTCAGAAGAGCATGTGAGTCTTGATCTTATGGTCGTGGGTTTGAGCCCCACCTTGGGCCTAGAACTTACTTTAAAAAAAGGAAAGAAAGAAAGAAAGAAATGCTAATTAAAAAATTGCATGTATTTAAGGTAGACATCTATGTTTTAATATACATTGTGAAGTAACCACCACAATCAAGCTAATTAAATGTGTATCGCCTTAACATGGTTACTGTTTTCTTTGCACGTGCATGTGTGTGTATGTTTGTGGTGAGAATAGCTAAGATCTACCCTCATCGCAAATTTGAAGCATATAATACAGTATTGTTAACAGTAGTCACATTGCCATACATTAGATCTCCAGAACATACCGTCTTGCATAACAGAAACTTAGTAACCCTTGACCAACATCTCCCCATTTTTTTCTCCCCCTGGTCTCTGGCATCCACCATTCTTTTCTCTACTTCTCTGAGTTTAACTATTTTAGATTCCGCATATATGTGAGATCATGCAGTATTTCTGGACTCTCTGTTCTGTTCCACTGGTCTCTATGTTTTTATGCCAGTGCCATACTGTTTTGATTACTGTGGCTTTGTAACATATATTGAAATAGAAGTGTGGTGCCTCAGTTTTGTTCTTGTTCCCTGCCCATCTGTCTTTGTGCTGCTATAACAAATAGCTTATAAACAATAAAAATTTATTTCTCACTGTCCTGGAGGCGGGGAAGTCCAAGATCAGGTTGCCAGTATGGTCTGATGAGAGGCTGTCTTCTGGGTTGCAGACATCTCTTTATGTTCTCATATTGGTGGAAGGAACTAGGGAGCTCTGTGGGGTCTCTTTTGTAAACCCATTAATCCCATCCCTGAGGGCACCACAGTCACAACTTAATCACCTCCCAAAGGCCCCACCTCCTAATACCATCACTTTTGGGGGTTCAGATTTCTACATATGAATTTAGAAGGGACACAAACATTCAGACCATAACATCATCCTATTTAAAATTGTAATGCCTGTTCCCCATACACAGAGACTTCCAAATCCCCTTCCCAGTTCTCTTTTTTCTCCTTAGCACTTAACATTTTCTCATGTGATATTTATTGTAGTTACATATCTCATTTTTGTCTGTCTGGATCATGGGGTATAAACTTGAGATCCAGACTTTCGTCCATTTTGTTCACTGCCGTAGAATACTCCTTGGCATATCTGTTGACTAATTATATGCATTTATTAATAACATGTATGTTATTGCATAACTAACCATTTCAATAAGAAAAATAATTTTACTAAACTTTGAAAGGTTGTTGTTACAGGTCTGGTATTTATACTTCCAGTAATCGTTTTTATTCTTTTATTTAAGGGGGATGCTCAGAATTTCATTTTGATGATAATCCAGTGAGTCGTTCTGTGTATATAGCTGAGCTGGAAAAAATAGGCATAATAATTAAAGCACGGAACTGTCTAGTGTTTCAGGTAAGGAGCTGTACTAGTTTATTTTGTTCATGATTTTGAAAATACACCCATATATTTTATATATTGATGTGCTTTACTGTTTTTAAAAGGGAACTATAGAGTCGATTTCAATGAAAAAACCCAAAGAAAGAACCCAGTTTTTTGAGGAAATCAGCACTTCAGGAGAGCTTATAGGAGAATATGAGGAAAAGAAAAGAAAGTTACAGAAAGCTGAAGAGGATGCACAGTTTAATTTTAATAAGAAAAAAAATGTAGCCGCAGAACGCAAACACGCAAAATTAGAGAAAGAAGAGGTAAGGTTGTGATGGTGGAACCAGTAAGTGTTGGATAAAAAGACTTTCTGTCTGTTAGCATTGCTAGGTATTGGCTTGGGGTTACTAACAAGTTTTTAAAATAAGGTAAGACAAAGAAAGCCCACTATTCATTTAAAATAAACTTTTTGATGTAGTTTCTACTGGTTTGTTTTGTTTTGTTTTGTTTTTTCCTTAATAGGCAGTACAACCTCAACCACAAAAATGTCTGATTTTACCAACTAAAAATAAGCTTGAGGGGTTTATATCTTATATGACAGAGGCTTTCAACTTTTGGATCTTGTCCCCTTACATTCTTAAAAATTTATAAGGTCCCTGAAGAAGTTTGTGTTAATGTGGGTCATATCTACCAATATTTATTATATTTGAAATTAAAACTGAGAAATTTTAAGAATGTATTTTAACAGTCAACATTAAATTATGACAGTAAACATTATACATTGACATAAATGACATTTTTATGAAAAATAACTGCATTTTCTAAAATTAATTAGAAAGGTGACATTGTTTTACATATTTATAATATCCTTAATATATGGCTTAACAGAAGAATCTCCTATCTACTTCTGTATCAAACCTTATTTATGTTAAAGCCTAGCAGCTTTACCCACCATTGGTGCAGGTATCAACACAATGAAAAAAGCAAATGAGGTCTTACTGTTATTATGAAAAGAGTTTTGACCTCAGGAGCTCCCTAAAAGGGTACTGGGAACCTCTAAGAGGCCATAGACGCACTTCACAAATACTGTTCTGTGGTATTTCTTGGTGCCCTTCACAATGCCTAGTATAGTGCCTTATTTATGGTTGATAATTGTTTGTACTTAGAGTGATGTTTGTCAAATGCACATCAGAATCTGTCTTTCTCTTGCATAAAACCTCTATCAGTGCAGTGCTTCTGTCTAGTCTGCCTCCCCAGCCTACTTACATGGCCCCTTACCCACCACTCAAGTTTTAGTTTCCTCTACTCTCCCACCCACTGACCTTTACTGTTTATTGAACATAATGTGCTCACTTCTAGCTCAGAGCTTTTGCTCTTTCCCCTGCCTAGATAGCTGTGTGCCTGATATTTGCATGGCCAATACTCTCTCATTCAAGTTGTCATTAAAAAGATATTGTCTCAGGCAGGCATTTGTTATCCACACCCCAATCTAAGTTGGTACCCCCTCCCTGGTACTATTGCATTACCCTGTTTCTTTTGTAACATATATTGCTGTATGAAATTATCTTGTTTATCATGTTTGTTTGTTTACTCTCTGATTTCCCCCTCCCCCACCATTAGAACAACTAGCTTAAGTGCCGATGTGAGCAGGGAGCGTTTCCGTCTTCTTCTCTACTACATTCCCATCAACAAGGGTCAGGCACATAGTAGGCAATCATTAATATTTGAAGAATTAAATGAAAGGTGGATGTGTTTCTCATTGTGATGTTTCTGTTTCTTCATATTTTTACATGTGTGCGTATGTCCTTGGTTTTGTTAGTGGAGAGGGGCGATGTCAGTGAAAGACTATGATATTCATAATATACTGAAACAGTGTATAGAAATGTAGAGTTGCAGAACTTTAAACTTTATGAGGACAGTTAGAATCATTGAATTTCCTTTTTTACAGTGTCATGGCAAATGGCTGTTTACCTATTACTTGGAATACATCATTGATTAGGAGCTTTCCCTTCAAAGCAGCCCTTTATTCCTTTATTAATAGTACAAATGCTAAGGAAATTCTTCCATTTTACATATATTTTAGAATTTTGTATTCCTGTTAACAGAAAAACTACATCTTAAAGCAGGAATTTTACCTGGAATCCTTGAATTTATCATGATCTCAGGGTCAAGGGGTTGAGCCCCTCTACAGACTTGCATTCAGCAGGGAATCTGCTTCTCTCCCTCTCCCTCTGCCCCTTCCCCTGCTTGCACGCATGTGGGTGCACATGTGCATGTGCTCTCTCTCTCTCTCTCTCTCTCTCAAATAAATATCTTTAAAAAAATAAAAATAAAGTTGCTAGGGACCTTACAAGTCATATAACTTCCTTCAGTTTACATATTAGGAAGCTGATGTCAGAAATATTAATGGACTTGCCATACTCTGAGGTCAAGACAGAAATGAGACAAAGACCAGGTTAGCAGATGCCACTTCATTGTTCTTACCACTGAGTATATGAAAATAAAATCATATACTGGCTTACTGGTTTATTATAAAACTGTATCCAGAAACCTCCAAATAATGCTACTTTTGGCAAGAATACTATTTCTTAATTACATAAGTAATTTATTTCATAAATTTAATAACTTGTGAATAAGAAATAATAGATAATAAATAATTTCATTCCTTAGAGATCATTTGTTGGTACTATTGTTGAGTTTATGAAAAGTCACCTTAAGTATACTCCCTCTTAACTGTCTTTGAATTGTACTGTTTTATAGGCAGAATGTTACCAGAGTCTCCTTGAAGAACTGAAAATGAACAAGATACAATTACAGCTTTTCCGACTATATCATAATGAGAAGAAAATTCATTTCCTGAACACTGAGTTAGAGCGTGTGAGTAGGGACTTGAGTGTCACAAAAGAGTCTCTTTCTCATCATGAAAACATAGTGAAAACCAAGAAGAAGGAACATGGAATGCTAACCAGACAACTACAACAAACAGAAAAAGAATTAAAGTGAGTTTTTAAAAATAGTTATTAACAGCTGGATTTTATGTATATTGGTAGAAAAAATAAAAATATAAGTGACACTTTGAAAGTTGATTTTTTTTAAAAAAACTTTTTACTTTGAAATACTTTTAGATACACAGAAAAATTACAAAGATAGCAAGTTCCCCTATTCCCTACACTCAATTTCTCCTGCTTTTCACAATAATATGATACATTTGTCAGAATTCATTAACCGTGAACTACTATTAACTAAAGTCCATGCTTTACTCATGTTTCCTAATTTTCCCCCAGTGCCCCGTTTCTGACCAAGCACACCACATTACATTTAGCCATCGTGTCTCCTTAAGCTCCTCTTGGCTGTGACAGTTTCCCAGCCTTTCCTTGTTTTTGGTGACCTTGATAATTTTGACATGTATTGGTCAGGTTTTTTGGTAGAATGTCTCTCAATTTGGATTTGTCTGATAGTTTTCTCATAAAAAGGTAATGTTTATGGATTTTGAGGAGGAAGGACATGGGGTAAAATGTCATTCTCATCACATCAGGAATGTCAACAGATAATCTGTTATATGATATACTGTCTGTATAATACATGATAATATGAAACTGATACCACTGTTGATGTTGGCCTTCTCTTGCCTATTTATAACCTCCATTCCACCAGCGAGAAACCTGGCTTCCATTTTGGAAGTCTGCTGTTCATTTTATTTTTTATTTTATTTTTAAATTTTATTTTATTTAAATTCAATTAATTAACATATAGTGTATCATTAGTTTCAGATGTAAAGTTCAGTTATTCACCAATTACATATAACAGTCAGTGTTCATTATATCACATGCCCTCCTTAATGCCCATCACCCAGTTACTCCTCCCCCCCCACCCCCCTCCCCTAGAGCAACCCCCAGTTTGTTTCCTATGATTTGGTCTCTTACAGTTTTTCTCCCTCTCTGGTTTTGTCTTATTTTATTTTTCCCTCCCTTCCCCTATGATATTCTGTTTTGGTTCTTAAATTCCACATATAAGTCAAACCATATGATAATTGTCTTTGTCTGACCGACTTACTTCGTTTAGCGTAATACCATCCAGTTTCATCTAGTTAAAAAGAGAGCTACCCTACGACCCAGCGTTTGCACTACTAGGTATTTACCCAAAGGATACAAATGTAGTGATCCGAAGGGGCACCTGCACCCCAATGTTTATAGCAGCAATGTCCATAATAGCCAAACTATGGAAAGAAGCCCAGATGGTGATCAACAGATGAATGGATAAAGAAGATGTATATATACACAATGGAATATTATTCAGCTGTCAAAAAAGATGAAATCTTACCCTTTGCTGTTCATTTTGAATTCCAGTAATCATACATAGCAGTACCAGAATTGTTAACCCATATCCTCATGGGAAGCAACTTCAGCAACTAGAGTATAATGCTTATGTACAATTCCTTTTGTTTTAGTTTTATAGATGTGATTCATTTTCAAAGTTATTTAGGTTAGCACTTTTCTCCCCACCCCCTTCAGTAAGGTGGTTTCATACATTGGTGATGTAGTGGATGTTTTGGTTATATTCCATATAGGATCCCTTGACCTCCTAAGTGAGCTTTTCTAATTTACACACATTACATTAAGCTTCACTCTTGGTGCTATAAAGTTCTATAGGTTTTGACAAATGCATGATGTCATATGTCCACCATTATAGTATCATACAGAGTAGCTTACCACTCAGAAAATTCCCCTGTGCTCCACCTATTCAGTCCCCCCACCTCCCTACCCCCACCACCAGCCTCTCCTCTGGAAACCACTGATCTGCTTACAGTCTCTGAAAGTTAATTTTTAGAATTTATTTTTAAATGTATGATTTGATCAAAAGAACTTCCTTCCTTTATATAGTATAGTTTTAATTTACTTTAAAGCAAACTTTATTTTCTTTTTAGATCTCTTGAAGCGCTTTTAAATCAGAAAAGGCCTCAATACATTAAAGCCAAAGAAAACACTTCTCACCACCTCAAGAAATTAGACGTGGCTAAGAAATCAATAAAGGACAGTGAGAAACAGTGTTCTAAACAGGAAGATGACATAAAAGCCCTGGAGACAGAGCTGGTTGATTTAGATGGTGCATGGAGAAGTTTTGAAAAGCAGGTTGAGGAAGAAATCTTATACAAGGGGCGAGACATTGAACTAGAAGCCAGTCAGGTGAACAAGTCAACAAATGAGAAAATTTTCATTTCTATAATTTCAGCTTCTTAGAAACAATTTAAAGAATGTTCTCTGATACATTGAGAGATTATCCTCAGACAATCCTCGTCTAAATTATGGGGGTTGAAAATTTTCAGTCTATATTCGGAGTCTAAACTTAATCTTTATAGACTAGGCTATTTTTACTTTATAAGATTAGATGGCATTATAACATTTGTGAGTTAATTAAAGTCATAGCAAATACTTCAACAAGATTACCTGGTATCATTTTGTAAAAAAATTAGGTAATTAAATTATGTTCTTATGTTTTTAAGGTGATAATTTTTTCCTTATGAATATAAAAACTTAAAAATCAGATATACATGGCTTTGAAGAAACATGACCGCTTAATTGGCAGGAGGGAAGTTGATTATTTGAGGTGGTTTAAATGTGGTGGTGAATTAATATCCAATTTGGTATGTAAGATTTAATTATAATAAATTAGTAGTAGATACCCAAGAATTTGTAATTCAGAGTTTTTGAAAGTCTCTCAACTGAATTTTTTATCATTTATCTTTCATTAATTTTATGATAATCTTACATCACAATATATATACTAAAATAACTGTGACTATATAAATAAAAGTTGTAATTTTATCTGAACTCCTCTTGCTTTTGGACTATTAGTGAGTTTTAATCTCCTTTCTCTTCTAAGAATTTCATACAGAGACGTTATAAAGTTGGTTTTGAATACCTTCTTTATCTTTCTAAGCAGTTTTAAAGAAGAAGAGGTTCATTTTGGGTTCACATTATCTTACCTGCAGAAGATGGCAAACTATCATCTAATTTATATAAGACTTTCGATAAGATTATCTGCTAGTAAATAGTATCTTAAAAACTTCCTCTCATGCTTCTTATGTGAGTTAGTAATATTTAAATGCTCCTTCTACAGCTGGATCATTACAAAGAACTTAAGGAACAAGTGAGAAAGAAAGTGGCTATAATGACCCAACCGCTGAAGAAGTTGCAGTGGGAACAGAAGGCTGACAAAGAAAGACTGGCGTTTGAAAAGAGGAGGCATGGAGAAGTTCAGGTACCTTGGTTTGTGCAGACACGATTGGAAACTGTTTCAGTGAACTTTTATTCTCTTTTCATATCAGCTTTTCAGTATATAAATTGATTTACACTAGACATAAGCAATTAATTTAAAAAAATTCTGGATTCCCTGTTTTGCTGCTTAGTACCATTCAGGTGCTCTTTTATCATGGTCTAAGGTAGAAGTAGACAGTGCCTTCTTTCATGTAATTGGTAAGCATTTTCCACACATCTGTGCAGTGACGGGCAAGGGCAGACCATACAGCTTTTGTTCTTACATGTACTTCAGTCCCGTAAGGTGAGGGGGAGGGTAGATAAAGGGAAAAAACAAACAAGTATCATAATAGAGGTGAATGCAGAGTCCTATGGAAACATTAAGGACACAGCCCAAGAGGAGCCTGATGCTCTACGCAGGAAGTGACCAGCAAGACAGCATGATCCTGTTCCCCACCCTGAGTAAGGCAGACCTGTCTTGTTCTGTCACTGACCTGTGTAATCTTGGGAAATAACTAAAGTATTTAACTTCTCTGAGCTTTGATGTCTTCATGTGTATGATGAGGACAGATGTGTCTACCTCACAGAGATGGGCAGGTTGAACAAGATGAAAGGGAGTGTGATGATATGTGAAGTAGTTGGTCTTTCCCTCTATGCCTCCTGACCTCCTTTTCCAAAGACTGAGAATTGGCCTGTAAAATTATTACTGAGGCATTCAACAGTAATAACAGCTTGTGATACTTCATGGAGTTGGTGGGCCATCCTGAAAACAGGACCATTTCTGATAAGAATTGTAAAGGGAAACGGTTCTGAATTATATATACATTTGATTTATATGTGGATATTTGGAATTTAGAGGGAAAATGTTTATTGATTACTTTGCTAGGCACTTTGTATTCATTAGTTCCTATATGTCTCATAATACTATAGAGTCGGTATTTGCTTTAGGGTAGAGATGAAGAAGCTGAGGACTGGGATGTCAAAATGAAATATGTCTCTGGAAACAGGTCTGACATTTTCCAGAGATAACAGCAATAATATTATAATATAGTGTTTATTTGTACAGATCATGTATATACCATGTTTACAGCCCTGCTATGAACCCAATTTATTTAATCCTCAAATAATTTTATGAAGTAGATATTAGTATTATTATGTTCTCATCCTGGTTTTTTTCCTCTTTTCTACATTCTCTGCCTTGGTGATTTATATTCTCATAGCTTTAAATATCACCTGCTGGTGACTCCCAGATTTGTATTTCTTGCTCACAACCTCATATATCCAGCTGCTTTGTCAGCATCTGGATGTTGAACAGATACCTCAAACTTAAATCCCAAGCTGACCTTCTGATCTTCACACTCAAATGCTTGCCACACATGATCTTTCTCATTTTATGTGATGACAGTTCAATCTGACTGGTTGCTCAGACCAGAAAACTTGGAGTCCATTTTTGCCTCTTTTAGGAAATTCTGCTGGCTCCACCCTCAAAGTATACCAAAAATCATATCACTTCTCTCCACTGCTGCTGTTCCAAGTCACCATCTTTTTGTTTGTTTAGACCACTGTGGTAGCCTGCTGGGTTTCCCTGTTTCCATTCTTATCTCCTCCACAACAAGTCTCAGCACTGTACCAAAGAAATGGTTTTAATATCTAAGTCAGATCATGAAACTTGCTCTTTTTAAGTCCTCCAGTGGCTCACCATCATACATAAAGTTTAAGTCAAGGTTCTTGAGTGCCCTACGTAGACCTACCTGATTTGTTCACCTCTCCCGCCCCAATTAACCTTTCAAATCTCTCTTTTTCTATTTTCCCTCTTACTCCCTGCGGTCTAGCTGTACTGGCCTCTGGAACACATCAGACATATTTCTGCCTTTGGGCCTTTGCATGGGTTATTCCTCTGCTTCAAACATGCTTTCACTATATTTCTTCATTTTTAACTCCCTCACTTCTTGCAAGTCTCTGCTCAGATGATGCCTTCTCAATGAGGCCTACCCTGACTGCCCTGTTTAAAATTACAGTCCCCGCTGCACTTCAGCTCCCCTTGCCCCGGCTCTGTTTCTCCCATAGCATTTATCCTAACACACGATTTAATTTACATATTATATTTGTCTGCCTCCCCCCTCTAGAATATAAACCCCACAAAGCAGGGATATTTGTCTGTTTTGTTCACTGATACATCCCAAGTGTCTGGAATACTTCCTTATTTAGAACAGAGAATCAGTAAGTATTTGTCGACCTAATGAATTTCACAGATGAAGGAAATCAAGGCACAAGATAGTTAACTTGACTGAACTAGTAAGTGGAGGAGCTGGGATTTGGTTCCAAACACTCTGTCTCCAGAGTAAGTCTTCTCAACCCCTACACTGCACTGCATCTCATTTTAGTCTTGTTGTGAGTTGGCAGATGAAAACGGGAACAAGTAGGAAAGGTAAACTATTTGATAATCACGAGTGGAAGAGAGGACATTTTGTGGAGGGACAAAAACGGGTGTAGTACCAGAGCAGTAACTACTTTTAAAACACTTGTATAGTTAGTGTCACATTATAAAATTATACATGGATTTCAGCAAATACTCATTGTACATTTTTGCCTTTGTCCATGCTAGTTTTGGAAAAACCTGCTCATCTTTACCTGTTAAATTCTGTAGTCACCACACCACACCACACCACACCACAAAGCCTTCTCTGGCGCGCTTTTTCTCCCCACCAAAAACCTGAATGTAATTTCTTCCTCACCTAATCACCTATTGTGCTTATTCTATAATCTATATCTAAGAGCTCGTATCAGATTGAAGAAAAAGCAGTTAATTGGTACCATTCTACTAGACTGGAAGCTTCTTAAAGGCAGGATTTATAACTGTCCATTGTGAACCTTGTATTTAGATGTCAGTAAGTGGTGGTTGAGTTGCAGTTGTCTTTTGAGTACAAAAACATTAGTAGAAGAAGAATAGCATGTCAGGTTGGAGAGAGATGGAGAAATCTGTACCCATACTCAGTTTCCCACAGGACTGGTGACTCCCTTCTGGGACAGGAGGAGCTTAACTTTCCACAGAACCTGAGGTCACTAGGTGCTGGGCAGTGTTTGGTTTTTCCCAGACAACTGGCATCTCAAATCCAGCATGCCTGGTACCAAGACAGTCTGATTATCCCCTATTATGTATTGAGCAGAATACCTAGGCCTTGACACACTTCTTTGTATGATGATGACCCTGGCCTTTTACATTTTCTTCAGCAATGACCATTTATTTATTTTATTTTTTGAGAGAGAGAAAACACCCTTATGAGTGTTTTCATAAGGTTATATTTGATATGCTTCAAATTTAGAACACCTTACAATTCTATAGTAATTTCTAGGAATATAGTGAAAAATAATTTTGTTTGGAGTTGCTGATACTGGTTTTATGGCTTTTTTTTCCTATTTTAGGAAAATCTAAAACAAATAAAAGAACAGATAGAAGATCATAAAAAACGAATAGAGAAGTTGGAGGAGTATACAAAAACATGCATGTGGGTACAGTTCTTATGGCTTTCTCATGTTTCAAGGGTCTGTTATGTTTGTGGGATATTCATGAAATGAAAGCTTCCACTGACTGTATCCTAATGTTTTCACTCCTCCGTTTTTGATTTGTTTTTCTTTTTCATTTCATTGTAAATAATTAAAAATTACACTTAACCACATAAATAAATACAATATGTAAGTTTTGAAAATATAAACTTTCAAGTGGTGAAATTTTGGTATTAATATTTTATAGTATAAGTTAAGACATGAAAGCTGATATGACCTAAGTATCCTACCACCAGAACTTTTATTTTTCATTGGCGCTTACTTACTACTAAGCCCACAATGACTGCTCTGGTTATAGCGATCTATCCTTACTTTCTCAGTATTCAGAAAAATGTATCTTCTGGATCAACCAAGAATGATCAAAATCTCTTTGGCCATGTCTGGTGCTAGGCTTATTTCATTGTATTTTTCATCATTTAAATTTGATAAGCACTATTCTGTTCCCCTGTGATGCCAAACCACAAGGGAATGTATCTTGTAATTAAATTTGTTGTTTTGTTTTGTTTTTTTGCTATGCAATTTGTTGTTATTATTGTGTAGGGATTGCTTGAAAGAGAAAAAACAGCAAGAGGAAACCCTAGTGCGTGAAATTGAAAACACAAAATCACGAATGTCTGAAGTTAATGAGGAATTGAATCTTATTAAAAGTGAATTGCAGAATGCTGGAATTGATAACCATGAGGGGAACCGTCAGCAAAAGAGAGCAGAGGTTCTGGAGCACCTTAAAAGACTTTACCCAGATTCTGTGGTAATTAGAAATGAATAGTTAATTGAAACAAAAAGGCTAAGCTTTCTTATTTGGGATTAAAAATGTTACTCTTATTAAGAAGCAGAATTATTTCAGAAATCTTTTAGTTTTGTGTTTGATTATTTATATTTAAAACATAATAGTAAATAATTGCAACATAATTTAAATAACTTCCAGTAGTGTCTATAGATAAGTAATTATTGGAGAGAAACATTGATGTGAACATATTACCCAGAAAGTCCAAGTTACGACCAGTATCCCCAAAGGACATGGGTGCCATAAAATAGTCTGCCCCTCCACCCCAAGCAGATAGCCTCAAACTGCATATTCTTCATGGTTTCAATTTTTTTAAAATTTATTTTCAGTAGACATCATTGGCATACTTTTGAAACAATGAATTTTTATTCTGTAAAGCTGATTGTATATCCACTTTTGCTAATGTATTTTATTAGCTCAAATACAGCAATATCTAACCTATTGCTTGGGGTGTCAACTTCACAGAATTATTTCCTCTGGTATTAGGGTTGTGGCATCTGACTCTCGTGTCATTAACTCCAGTTGCCGTCCTTAGTTTATGAGGGCCTGCTTTAACTTTTGATACTGTTAGCCACTTGAACTGTTTTGAAACTGGTCTTGACTTCTAGATCGTGATGAAGGAGTAAGCCTTGGTCACAGAATCCTTCCCCCCAATACCAAAGAAAATGGCAAAACTAGTTTTAAAAATGAGTTTAACGACCAAAGAAGGAAATGGCTATTACATCTAATGCCAGAACTTCAGAAAATGGTGATAGTCCATGATTTAAAAAAAAAAAAAAAAGATTAAACAATAACATTTCTTGTTCTTAACTCTGCAGAAGGAAAACTAACAAACTGATTACTTCCTGAGAATTCTCTCCTAGATTAAGTATTCCTTAATCTAGCAGGAAGCAAACACATATGTATTTGTTTCCTTTCGGTTAAAAAACTGGTGAATCAAGGAACATGCACCTCTGATGTTCTTAAGTGGAAGTGAAGGCCAATTCAAAGCCCCTTCCCAAAAATGGGATTTTCCCTCCTCTCCCATAGTAGAGGAAACTTGGTAAGGAAAAACTCAGAAGAAAGAGTGAAACAGGTATTCAAACAAAAGATACACACAGCCTCAACTCAGCTCTCACTTGCTCCTGTCCTCCAAGCCCTGAGATGCTAAGAAATAGATCAGAAAATACTTATTCCATCACCTATTGCTCAGAGGAAATTACCATCTCAGTTCTAGGTGAGGCAATCAAAACAGTTATCCACCACAGCAACTTCAAGGTCTGAACAGAGCTGCCCACCTTAAACATAAGCAAGGTGAAAAGAATCAATATGTTAGCTATAGGTCCATATGACAATAAAGCGAAAGAGTAATTTAAAAAGCACTTAGAAGTCTAAGAGCCTAGTCTGGGAGAAGGTTACAGAACAAAATCCCCCATAAGTAATTTGTGCTATGGACAATTTAATAAGAGCTTGAATTCATAAAACCAGATTCACATATGAGCTAAAACAAAGTAAAATGTAGAGCTATGAAAACAAATCAAGAACAAACAATATTACTGAACTAATAAATTGCAAGTAGCAAGGAGAATGGGTTACACAGATGAAAATCAAATTACTGACCTAGAAGAAAGATTTGAGTTAATCGCAGGTGAATGGAGAAGGAAAAAACAAAGAGCAGGGTAGTAAATATTAAAGACAAAGATGGTCTATCATAAAGAAATTCGTATTCCTGAAGTAGAACCTATCAAATGAAGAAAGAGTAGAAAGATGTAAAATTGAATCTTCAGGTATTCTGGGGAGCATTGATACAGGATGGTTGACGTTCTGACATTTTCTAGTAAAGGTGTTGATGTTCAGTCTAATTTTTGACCAGTCTTCAGACCTCAGATAACATTTCTTCATAGGAAGATTCCCCTGACTTTTCAAGTCAGCCTGGTCCCTGTTACAAACTCTCAGAGCATTCTGTGCTTTATCATAGTGTGTATTATTGCTCTATTTTGTACGTGCTCGAAATTATTATTTATATCTTTCTTCCCTACTAGACTGAAAGCTTGGTGAGGTCAGAGTGTCTATTATGTTCAGTAATGTTCACACACTGTCTAGCTGAGTATCTGCATGTAGTAGGTGCCTCATTAATTCTTATTTAATAACTTAAGAGAGTGGATGAATACTATTATCATAGCCTTGTAAAATATTTTAACACTTTGGTAAGGGTAATCCCTCCACACTACTCTTTTCTTAGTTTAAGTGCTAACACCTAAATGGATACTTCATGATGAAACCTATGTCCATTTGAATAAGACTCTGTTCAAATAGGTTTATAATTTTATAAAATTAGTTTTTGGTCTTGTTACATAAGAAACAATGAATTATATGTTCCTCAATAATGTGTTTGTTTTTCTCTTTTTTTGAAACCTGTTAAGTTTGGAAGACTACTTGACCTCTGTCATCCTATTCATAAGAAATACCAGCTGGCTGTTACTAAACTTTTTGGCCGGTACATGGTTGCCATTGTCGTAGCCTCTGAAAAGGTAGCAAAAGATTGTATTCGATTTCTGAAGGAAGAAAGAGCTGAACCAGAGACATTCCTTGCTCTAGATTACCTTGATGTAAGAAATTTGTAATGCTTATTAAATAAGCACTTCGTATTGGTAAAATCTTGTCTTTTAAAGTATGTCTTTATTGCCTAAAACTATAGTAGTGATTGAAAAAAATCATAGCCTGGATGCCAGTTAGTCATTCAAATGGCTGGTGTTAATGTATTGGTAGGCAATGAATAGTAATTATTTTTTTCTTAAAAGATTTTTATTTAGGGCGCCTGGGTGGCTCAGTCGTTAGGCGTCTGCCTTCGGCTCAGGTCGTGGTCCCGGGATCCTGGGATTGAGCCCCGCATCAGGCTCCCTGCTCAGAGGGAAACCTGCTTCTCCCTCTCCCACTCCCCCTGCTTGTGTTCCTGCTCTCACTGTGTCTCTCTCTGTCAAATAAATAAGTGAAGTCTTTAAAAAAAAAAAGATTTTTATTTATTTGAGGGAGAGAGAGCAAGAGAACATGAGCAAGGGGGACAGGGGCAGAGGAGAGGGAGAAGCAGGCTCCCCGCTGAGCAGGGAGCCCAATGTGGGACTCGATCCCAGGACCCCCGGGATCATGACCTGAGCCGAAGGTAGATGCTTAACCAACTGAGCCACCCAGGTGCCCCAAGAATAGTAATTTTTGATTTAATATCATTTCTTCCTAATTTAGTTTGCTGTAATTCTACCTTGGTGATTTTGAGGACATTACTCTAGCAGTATACCACCCTGCCTACTAGCCAGCAATTTATTTTGTTCTATAGCAAACTGTAGGAACAGTTAAGACATATGGTCTGTCCATGAAATGCCAACCCTGGATCTCAACTGTTAAATACACAATCACAGATTTACATACATTGTAGTAAACACATATCAGCCCGTGGTGGAACAGACTAAATTTTGGGCCTTAAGGTATGTATTGAGAGGCCTTAGCGTATCCAGAATAAATTACTGCAGCAGGAACTTTGCTTTTATCATAGCTGGTGTCCTTTACTGGTTTTTTTATTGCCTACTAAAGAAAATGCTCCACTTGGTCCAGCTTTCAAGACCTGAGCTGCAGGGGATGCACACAGTGGTTAGAGCTTGTGCCCTAGACTGGACTGCCCTGCATTTAATTCTCAGTCCTGCTTGTCATTAGTTCTCACTGGTTTCTTCTCATGAAAATGAGGTCATTCTTGCTGTTCTTCAGTAATCATTGCAGACACTTTTTTTTTTCTATTTCTGAAACCCAGGTTAGAAGTCATGTCAAAGAAAGTCTGAAGGCTTTCCTGGTCATTTAAGCCTAAAATGATTTTCTGAGTTCCATGAAGTGCCACTCTTATGACACATATGTAAATGGGTATTATCTCCCACTAGACTTTCTAATTTTGAGAGTATTGCTCGTGCATTGCTTTGTCCTAACTGGTCGGTGGCAGAGTTGAATCTGGAAATTATGTCTTCTGGCTTTTGCTGAAGTATGTTTTCTTTAAATGTTACATGAGCCACTGTTGGGATATATAGTTCATCAGGTTCTTGTCAAAATGTTATTATATATAAGTATGTACTATTAAATTTTTTTTGCTGTTATGCTTATTTATGCTTTTTGAGGATGTACTATTTGGTTTTTATTTTAGTGTATCTAATATATCAAGTGTTTTTTAACCTTTTAGATCAAGCCAATCAATGAAAGATTAAGGGAGATTAAAGGCTGTAAAATGGTGATTGATGTCATAAAGACTCAGTTTCCTCAGCTGAAGAAAGTAATTCAGTTTGTGTGTGGAAATGGCCTTGTCTGTGAGACTGTGGAAGAAGCAAGGCATATTGCATTCGGTGGACCTGAGAGACGGAAAGTAAGAGGCTTACATCATACTCTGGGATAACTTGAAGCAGTATCTATAAGACTAACATACTACACACACACAAATATCTACATACACTTTCATATGCTCTTTTTTAGAAGGAAAACCAACGTAGAACCTAAGACAGTTATGGCTTTAGTGGTTGTTATATCAGTTGAGTTTTCAAAGAATTAATTTCTGTAGTATTCCCCATTATCATAAATTATATTTTGGAAATTAGATTTGTTGTAATCATAGCCTAAAGCAGTTAATTTTTTTTACTTGATATGCAATAAATGTTCTTGGCAAATCTCTGATTTTTCCTGGCATTCACAATATAATGCATGTGTTTCTGAATACCAGGGGAAAGATTTAGGTATTTATTTTAGTTCTTCCCTAGCTTAATGCAGACACTATCCTTTTACATGTTCAAGGTTTTAACACATTTAAAGTTATAGAAATAGCACAGTTGAAATGAGGTTACTGAATCCTAACCTCAAGGGAATGATTTTGATTTTAAAAATAACTGTTTTACTTAGTCGAATAGTTGTATTTAGTTAAGCAATGTTAAATTCCTCAAATTTCTTGACGTGTTTTTTTTTTTTAACTACATTTGTGAAGTATAACCTAGTATCCAAGAGCATAAGGTATGAGGTAAGACTGGTGATGCTACTTAGTAATTAATTACATGACTTAAGGCTAATCTCTACATTTCTAATTTTCTCATCTAAAATTGGGGAAATAGGGGCGCCTAGGTGGCTCAGTTGTTAGGTGTCTGCCTTTGGCCCAGGTCATGATCCCAGCGTCCTGGGATCGAGCCCTGAGTCCGGCTCCCTGTTCAGTGGAGAGCCTGCTTCTCCCTCTCCCTCTGACTGCCACTCTGACTACTTGTGCTCTCCCTCGGTCAAATAAATAAATAAAATCTTTAAAAATAATAATAAAATAAAATTGGGGAAATAATAGCACCTATTTTGTAGGGTTAGAGGGTTAAATTCAGTAATAATGTGCACAGTGCCATTTGAGTGCCCAGCAAATAGCTCTCACAAAGTGCTGGTCATTTTTTTTTAACTTGGTCATTTTTCTTTTTTACTTACATCCAGAATGTCCACAGTTGCAAATTAATGCAAAACAGACTGTTCTTATTAAAAGTAGGAATTTTCAGTATTAAACTTATTAACTTATCTAACATGATTAATTTTTCAGACATTTTAGTACTTCTATTGGTAATCTTTTTTTAATTTGTTATGTTAATCACCATACATTACATCTTGAGTTTTTGATGTAGTGTTCCATGATTCATTGTTTGCGTATAACACCCAGTGCTCCATTCAATACGTGCCCTCTTTAATACCCATGACCAGGCTAACCCATCCCCCCACCACCCTCCCCTCTAGAACCCTCAGGTTGTTTCTCAGAGTCCATAGTCTCTCATGGTTTGTCTCCCCCTCCGATTTCCCCCCTTCATTTTTCCCTTCCTACTATCTTCTTCTTTTTTTTAAATATATAATGTATTATTTGTTTCAGAGGTACAGGTCTGTGATTCAACAGTCTTACACAATTCACAGCGCTCACCGTAGCACATACCCTCCCCAATGTCTATCACCCAGCCACCCCCTCCCTCCCATCCCACACCACTCCAGCAAGCCTCAGTTTGTTTCCTGAGATTAAGAATTCCTCATATCAGTGAGAGCATATGACACATGTCTTTCTCTGATTGACTTATTAGTAATCTTAATGAGAACTCAATCACTGTTTTAGTAATCACTGTCATTGATTTCTACATATTAAATTTAAGGAGGTATAATAAGTGAGCTACTAAGGTTATTTTGCTACCTAATTATGCTATAAATGATTTTTGTATCTTTGTAAAACATGTTTTTAAACTGACTTTTGAAGATTTGTGTGGTTAAGTTAAAGAAGTCATATGAAGATAAGACTTTATTCTTTCCTTCATTCAGCAAACAGCTTGCATCTTGTTCACAGTAACTAATGCCTTTCTCCTCTAGACTGTATCTTGTTTTCTTTTCATTATTTCAAAATTTTAATCTGTTTCATTTGTCTTACTTTTATCTTAAATATATTCCAGGAACTTTTATAGTCTTCCTATTGTTATTATTCCACTTACAGAATTTTCTGTTTTAGGATGTGTAAAACATTTGGATAGATGTCACATTTTCACAGAAATTATCTGATGTCTTCATTTGTGCTTTTGGTTTTCCATGGACTTATCTTTCTATAGACTTGATACCATGTTTTAGAATTTTTTTAATTCAAATACTGCAGGTGAAATCACAAAATGATATTTTATATACAAACTACATACAGGATATATACATAATAATAAGTTACAGCAGTTCTGCTAGCTATAGTTTGGTCATCAAGATTTTTATGATAACTCAATTTTTAAATATTTTTTAAATTAACATAACAAAATTTTAAAATCTGGAATCTGTTTGAATACATGTGATTATTCCATCCCTTCCCCTTAACCAGAGAAACAATTATTTGCTTCCTTTCCATAGACTGGATGATTGTTACTCAAAAAAGTATGTGGAAATGTCTATTTATGCTTTGCCCTTTTATAATATGGCGTGGCAAAAAACAGACCCAGAAAAGGTCATTAACTAGCTAATAATTCATGAAAAGATCATTTTTCCAAAAATTACATACATTGAGCAAGAGAATAAAATGCAGGGTACAGAAGGTTGGAAAAAATGGTACCATCTGGAACAGAATATGGCTGAATCTAAACTTCATACTTTATATCAGAATACATTTCAGATGGATTTGAAGTATAAATGTAAGAAATGAAATTGTAATTATACTGAGAGAAAGCATGGGGGAATTTTTCCTTAATGTCAGAAATAGCAAGACCTTTTCAGTATGACAAAAAACCCAAAAACTGTAAAATGTGGGTACATTTAAATAAACCTAAAAAAATTTTGCATGGCCAAAATCACCATAAACAAAATCAAAAGACATGGCAAACCAAGGAAAACATTTACAGCTCATGGTAAAGAGCAAATTTTCCTATAAATCAACAAGGAAAAGAACACAAAGTAGAAAAATGGACAAAGGTATGAATAAACTTATTTTATTAAAGGAAATATAATTGTTCTTAAATATGAAAACTCATCCTCACTTAAAATATGGGAAATGCCCATTAAAATTACACTGAAATACTATTTTCACCTGTCAGATTGATCAATGTTAAAAAAGTTTGATAACACTTTATGAGGAAGGAGGCTCTCCCATTTACTGCTGTGGGAGTATAAGTTTGTATCAGCTCCATGTTGTGGTTTTTAGGAACTTCACATAACAGATAAACTCACATGTATATGAAATGATACATATACAAGATTTATTTATTGAACCATTTTGTGTAACAGGAAAAATTGGAAACAATCCAGATAAGACTAGTTCAATAAAATTATAGTGCTTTCATAGAAAGGAATACTATGCAACCTTAAATAAGAATAAGGTTCTTTGTATACAAGTATGAGACAATCTCCAAGATCTATTCAGTTTTTTTAAAAAGTAATATGTAGACTAGTATATAGTATGTGACCATCTGTGTAAGACAATGGGGAAATAGATGTATACATGTATATGTTTATGAAAAACATTTCTGGAAGAATCCATAAGAAATTCACAGCATTGATTACTTCTTGGGAGAGCACATGGGTAGCAAGGGCCAGGGGAGTTTTTCACTCTACAGTCTTGTATCTTTTGGACTTTGAAATATCCGACTATCTTATCCGTTCAGAAATAAAATGTTAAAGTATATTTTTCATACCAATGAAAGACAACTTTAAAAATATATATAATCCACATAACATAAAAATTATAGAAGCTACCTTAGCAGTTTATAACACTGAAACTCTATTTCTTAAAACAGTTGAAGTTGATTCAGTGAAATGGTTGGTAATCTTGCAGAATACGTTTTTAATGCCAAAGAATTTTTTTCTACCCCATACCATAGCCTCTTGAATTTTTATTTAATGTTATTTAAAAATTCCTCTAACTCCTTATTTTAAATGAAATCCCAGTTGTGTCAGCCAAGTTATTTTTCAGTAATGTAACCCCCAACGTAGGCATAGGACTACTGCCCAGGCCAACTAATGTAAGCTGTAAGTCAAGAAAATTACAGGCTGGAGATAAAAATTATAGTCCTTCTGGAATAGGAATTTGAATTCCTATTGTAAATTCCTATTGTAAATCAAATAAAAATAAGTTATCTGAGACTACATTAACCTTTAGAAGAAATAAATTGTTTTAATAAACCCAGGAACTATTAAAACCCCTAAGACCCACAAATTCTATGAATTGTTGCTCACTACGTTTTTGGAATTGAAGGAGGTATATAACATGATGGTTGAGAACATGAGCATAGATGTTTGACCAACTTGGACTTTAGTCCCTGTGTATGGCCTTAGGCAAGTTACCTAATATCTTTTAGCCCCTATCTATAAAATGGAAACAATATCTACCTCAGCGGCTTGTGAACATGGAATCAAATAGCATAAATGCACTACATGGAGCACAGTACATGCAATATAAATGGTTGCAATAACAACAGCAACAGTCAACTAAGCAATAAAGTAAAAAGAACCTCAGAAAATCATTTTTTGTACCCCTGCTCAAACAGGAAAAGTTGACTTGCCTGAGTTTGGCAGCTGGGAAGAGGGTGCTGGCACTGTAATCCCACACACAGTGTGGCAGATTCTTAGTAGCACAGAGTTCTTGATACACTTCTTTCCAAGCCAGCCCCCATAGAGGTTCTTTGTCAGTATTATGTTTGGTTTTTATATATCAGAAATAGAAGTTAATAAATGTGCAGTTTAGAAATTTTGGAAAATAGAGCTCAAAAAGGAAACTGAAAACCATCCCTAACTTGTCTCCCAGAATAGAGTTGCCAAAGAAGATATTCGGACATACTTATATTAAAAAACTATTCATTGTTTATCTGAAATTCACATTTAACTGAGCATGCTTATTTCTGTTTGCTAAATCTGACATCCAGACTCGAAGGATCTAGTATGTACTATGGTGTCTATGCTATATATTTAGAAATCAGTTTTATCCCTTAACTTTTGTAAGTTTTGTTTTTACGTGTAAATTGGGTTTTTAGTATGAGATCAAATATATATATTTTTTAATTTAATTATGTTAGTTACCATATAATACATCATTAGTTTTTGATGTAGTCATCCACAATTCATTGTTTTTGTATAACACCCAGTGTTCCATGCAGTACGTGCCCTCTTAAATACCCATCACCAGGCTAACCCATCACCCCACCACCATCCCCTCTAAAACCCTCAGTTTGTTTCTCAGAGTCCATAGTCTCTCATGATTTGTCTCCTCCTCCGATTGTCCCCCCCTTCATTTTCCCTTCCTTCTCCTAACATCCTCCATGCTATTCTTATGTTCCACAAATAAGTGAAACCATATGATAATTAACTTTCTCTTCTTATTTCACTTAGCATTATCTCCTCCAATCCCATCCATGTTGATGTAAAAGTTGGGTATTCATCCTTTCTGATGGCTGAGTAATATTCCATTGTGTATATGGACCACATCTTCTTTATCCATTGATCTGTTGAAGGGCAACTCGGCTCTTTTCACAGTTTGGCTATTGCGGACATTGCTGCTATGAACATTGGGGTGCATATGGCCCTTCTTTTCACTACATCTGTGTCTTTGGGGTAAATATCCAGTAGTGCAATTGCTGGGTCATAGGGTAGCTCTATTTTTAATTTTTTGAGGAAACTCCACACTGTTTTCCAAAGTGGCTATACAAACTTGCATTCCTACCAACAGTGTAAGAGGGTTCCACATTCCTACCAACGGTTTAAGAGGGTTTCCCTTTCTCCACAACCTCTCCAACATTTGTTGTTTCTTGCCTTGTCAATTTTTGCCATTCTAACTGGTGTAAGGTGGTATCTCAATGTGTTTTTGATTTGAATGGCTAATGATGAATATTTTTTCATGTGTCTATTAGCCATTTGTATGTCTTCTTTGGAGAAGTGTCTGTTCATGTCTTCTGCCCAATTTTTATTTTATTTTTTTAAGAGTTTTTATTTATTTATCTGAGAGAGAGAGCATGAGCGGGGGGAGGAGGGGCAGGGCAGAGGGAAAGGGAGAAGCAGACTCCCTGCTGAGCACAGAGCCTGACGCAGGGCTCAATCCCATGACCCTGAGATCGTGACCTGAGCTGAAGGCAGATGCTTGACTGACTGAGCCACCCAGCTGCCCCTGCCCATTTTTAATTGGATTATTTTATTTTGGGGTGTTGAGTTGTATAAGTTCTTTATATATTTTAGATCCTACTCTTTATTGGATATGTTATTTACAAATATCTTCTCCCATCTAGTAGGTTGTCTTTTAGTTTTGTTGACTTGTTTCCTTTGCTGTGCAGAAAGTTTTTATCTTGATGAAGTCCCAAAAGTTCATTTTTGCTTTTGTTTCACTAGCCTTTGGAGATGTATCTTGAAAGAAGTTGCTGTGGCCGATGTCAAAGAGGTTACTGCCTATGTTCTCCTCTAGGATTTTGATGGATTCCTGTCTCACATTGAGGTCTTTCATCCACTTTGAGTTTATCTTTGTGTGTGGTGTTAGAGAATGGTCGAGGTTCATTCTTCCATGTTTAGCTGTCCAATTTCCCAGCACCATTGATTGAAGAGACTGTCTTTTTTCCATCGCGTATTTTTTCCTGCTTTGTCGAAGATTAGTTGACCACAGAGTTGAGGGTCCATATCTGGGCTCTCTATTCTGTTCCATTGGTCTATATGCCTGTTTTTGTGCCAGTACCATGCTGTCTTGGGGATCACGGCTTTGTAATATAGCTTGAAATCCGGCAATGTGCCCCAGCTTTGTTTTTCTTTTTCAACATTTCCTTGGCAATTCGGGGTCTTTTCTGATTCCATACAAATTTTAGGATTGTTTGTTCCAGCACTTTGAAAAGTGTCATTGGAATTTTGATCGGGTTGGCAAGATCAAATATATAGTTACTTAACTTTTCTTCACTTTTTTTGGTGGTATCACTTCTGTATTTTAATTTTAATCTGGGATTTATTTTGATGTATACTGTTAGATGTAGGTATTAGATTTCCCCCTAAATGGTTAATTACCTGCCCCAACATCATATACTGAATAATCTTTCTTTTCCTACCTGCCTAATTGAATTCAGTGATTTCTCATTATAATAATCTGGATTATTATACTTGGTTCTTTTTTCACCTACTATAATTTATCTCTAGTATTTGTAGCTATCTTATTGCATATTTATATTTATTATAATCTTTATTATAATTTATAGAATCTAATTTCTTTCAGAAAATAATCAAAATATACCTTGTAAATAAATAAGTAAAATATTAGCCCACAATTACTGTAAAATCATGTCTAAATTTATGTTCTTTCTAAATCTTGATCTCCTGTATTTAATTTTTGGTACTACTCTTCTAGCATGAAGTTCTGGTTTTTCCTCAAGGATTTCCTTGTAACCTCTCTAATCCCCAGGCTTTTCTGATTATACCTCCTAAACATTTTTCAAATCTTTTTCCTTTTTTTCATCCTAGCTATTATTGGCTGATTTCTTACCATCACCTCTAACTCACTTGGACCAATCCATTTTCCAAATAGTTGCCAGAGTGGTCTATTTAAAGCTCCTGTCTGACCATTTCTCTCTCCTGGGTGCTGTCACCCCATTCAGTGCTAATCCAACTCCGTGCCCTCGAAAAACCCCATCAGTCCTCAGTTGTTCTCAATCCCCATTCTTCCTGTGACGGCACACAAAGAGCCCCAATATCTGCCCTGCCTACTGGCCTCACCTCTAAGCTGTTCCTTAGCTCTCATTTTACCTTCTAGGAATTCTAAACTCTTTATGTTCCCTCTTTCCTTACCCCACCCCTGTGGCGCATGCACATACTATCTGTTTAGGTGTCTGTGCGCCACTGCCAGCGTTTTGCCACTGTTCTTTTCCTGGCTGCGTCCTACCTGTCCGTGTCAGAGACTGCAGCTGCCTGCTTAATAGCCCTCTCCCTTTTCTCCATGCTAACAGAAACCTGATCTTACTGTGTAACATCTCAGAGGGGCCACTGGAAGTAAATGGCAGTCATCAGTAGGCCTGCCAGGAAAGTTTCTTAATAGAACCCTTTGACTTTCTTTCTTGAAATATAGACATGATAGCTGGTGCTGTAGGATTCTCCTGGACTACAAAATGACTTTGAAAATTGTCATATGAGAGATCCTGACACACACATCACTAGTGACACATAGTCACATAGTAAAGTAAGCTTTATGGAGAACTTAAAAGCGGAGGAGCCTATGTGGATCTTCATCTTTCATTCAAGAGAGGTATGGTTTGGCCAGGCAAAACTCACAGCTAAAAGTGTTCCAGGAGAGGGATGCTGCCTCCATACCACTTGACATTTTTATGGAGAAGTTGGAGGAGTCAGTGGAATGTGTAACAGTGGGCTTCCTGGTCAGGGAAACTAACTGCCTTCCTGACCAGAGAGAACTTCCCATTAGGAGCTCACTTTCCATGCCTCTGCTGTTGTCATCCAGTAAAGATCTAGTGTTTTCCAAAGAGCCATTTCAGACCCAATGAGCAAACTCATTGCCAGGCTAACAGCTGGGAAGGAAGGGAGCCCCTAAGGCCTTCCAGAAAATAAAAAGGCTATCTCCCTTGAAGAGTTATCCAAATACTAAGGATGACAGAGCAATAATATATCAGGAGTCTGGGTTTTGTTAACTGTGGCGCCATCATACAAACCCTGGAATGCGTACTTCTGTAATTGTGAGAGAGAAAGAAACTGAGTTTTCTGCTAAATATAACTAACTTCTAACTAGTTCCTCTGATACAATGAAAATCTTCCCCTCTTCAGGAAGCTTTCTGTGGAGGATCTGGGTTGGGACCCCCCAGTTTTATGCTTCCAGATTACCCTGTGATTCTAGCTTCTCCTTACTTTCTGTTGTAATGTTATGTTTCTTTCCCTACTAGCATGATTCCCTGGGGGTCAGTGCCATATGTCCCTCCCTTCGGTCGCTCCGGTGTCAGTATAGAATGTCTCAAACACAGCAGCTCTCAGGGACAGTCTGTCTGAATGAAGGAATGGATGAGACTCCTGTTTGTTGGCTTTTTTTCCCTAAGCTCACTCTGCTGGTTTTGGTCTTCCACAGGTGGTCCCCTCCTGCTTTTGTTACATAATTAGAAACATTTGTAAGACATTGAGAATCATTTACTCCATAAAGCATATACTTAATCACAAGACTATAAACTTGAAGCTATTTTATACCTTTGACTCCATTTAAATTTTTTTCTTGGTCCCGGTTTCATATGTACCTTGGAGAATGCACTATGTTTGGTATCCTAAAGTTGCTAAGGCTATTTTCATAATATACCATTGACGTGACAACAGATTCTTCAAAATATAGGATTACATAATACAAACCATTTGATATTAAATACAAATATCCTTGGTGTTTGCTTCTCAATATTGAATATGTTTGGAGCTAATATATAATTTATTTTTTTAAGATTCTTTTCATTCATGAGAGACAGAGAGAGAGGCAGAGGGAGAAGCAGGCTCCCCACAGAGCACGGAGCCCAAAGCAGAACTCGATCCCAGGACCCTGGGATCACAACCTGAGCTGAAGGCAGACGCCTAATCGACTGAGCCACCCAGGCGCCCCAATATACAATTTATTTTGAACCTTTTTAACTGCTGCTAATTTGTTGTCTAGAATTGCTTTGGGCTTTAGCAAAACAGGATGTTTTATTTGTGGTTTGTTTATCGGCTAGTGTCCTTTCATAAACTAGGTATTTTATTAGTAAATTTCAGTAAGTAGTTTTCTCATCTATTAATTCTCAGCTGTAAAAATTGCCATTTTATATCCTATTTTTATCTTCCTTATGTACATTTCTCCAGGATAAAATATTTTTAATTTTACAGACAGTAGCTCTTGATGGAACATTATTTTTAAAATCTGGGGTGATCTCTGGAGGGTCAAGTGACTTAAAATACAAAGCTAGAAGCTGGGATGAGAAGGAGATAAAAAACTTAAGAGACAGAAGAGCCCAGCTGATCCAGGAGTTAAAGGTAAGCCCATGCTGTAAAAGTTGTGGAATACTAAGCTGTAGAATAATTGTGTTTTAAAATTAATTTTTGTGGTCATAAAAGTACCATGCCTATAGTTTAAAAAATTCAATAAAGCAAAATAGAATAAAGTCAAAGACAATATTTCTCTTACCTATCCTCATATCTCAGTGATACTTGCTAAACACAGTTTGATATATAGCTTCTGGAAATTTCCTCTGTATATGCAAGTATATGTATTATTTTTCCTGTTTGTTTTATGATGGGCTTTTGCTACAAATATTGTTTGCAACAAGCTTTTACATTTACCATCATAACAAGGACACGTTTTTATCTTAGCATACAGAGAACCACTTATTTTTACTGAATCCTGCCTGGTATTTCATTGTATAGGTTGTGTTTACTTAACCAGTCTCCAATAATGGACATTTTAGGTTTTGCTATTACAAGCGAGGCATCATTAAACATTCTTCAGAGAAGGAGAATAACCAGTACCTAGGAGTATAAATTCTGTAGCCACGCTGCCTGAGTTTCAGTCCTGGTTCCGCCACTTACTAGGCACTTAGTAGGACCTTGGACAAGTTACTTAACCTCTCTGTACCCTAAGTTTCCCACCTGCAAAATGGGTATAATAAAAGTATCATCCTTTTAAGTTTAAGGATTAAATCACATAATCCAGTTAAAATACTTAAAACAGTGCCTGGCATGTGTGAGTACTATATAAATGTTGTTATTTTAAAATAATTTTATTTGTATAAATATATCTCTAAGATGAATTCCTATATGTGGAATTTCTGGGTGTAAGCAAATGTGGTTTTATACTATTAGATGTTGCCAAGTTCCCATCAAAAGAACACTTGTAGTAGTGTATGTCCCTGGATTGCAACACGAAATATTAGCAGATATTTCCATCTTTGCCAATCTGATTGGTAAAAAAATATATATATGACCCAAATGTTTGAGTATGCATTTCTTAAATTATACCTGAGATTGAGCATTTCTGCTTGTTTTATTGGTTCTTTGTAATTTTTTCTTCAAACTGCTTATTTATCTCCTATGCACATTTTTCTATTAGGTTGCTTATTATTTTATTACCTATTCTAAGAATTATTTGTATAATGAGTAAATTAGTTCTTAGTCATATATGTTGTAAATATATTGTTTGACTTTTGTTGGGTTGAGGTATAATTTATATACAATAACTGCCACCCATTTTAAGCGGGTGATTCAGTAAGTTTGGACAAATGTATGTAGTCATGTAATTGCCCCCGCAATCACAGAATATTTCCATCATACCCTGGTTTCTTTGTAGTCAGCCTCCTTCCAGGACCCCGGACTGAGAGTGGGGATAACAATAGCGCATCTTTCACAGCACTGTTGAAAGGGTTAAGTAGGTTAAAAAATGTAAACTTGATAGAACACTGGTAAGTGCTCAGTAAATCTGAGATATTACTTAGAATATCCACGAAACACTTTAAAAAACTAATTATATGCTTGTCCATAATGGAAACCTCAGTAGCTTTTTAAAAGGTCATCTTGATTATAATTTAATGAAGTTAGAAGTAGTAACTAAAAAATTTTTGTTTGCATAGAAATTAAGAAAAGCCCTTTTAGGTAGTTTGGGGATCAAAGAAGTAATCAAAAGGCAAATTACAAAATGTCTCGAAAGTGGTAAATGGGAAGTCTTTGAGACACATACAAGCTACATCAAGAGGAAATACCTCCATTTTTAAAGAAGAAAGATGAGATATCGGGACATTTATTACTTTAAGAAACTAGAACAACCACCACAAAATAAACAAGAACTTATAATGGAATTTTTTTTAAAGATTTTATTTATTTGACAGAGAGCACACAAGCAGGGGGAACAGCAGGCAGAGGGAGAAGCAGGCTCCCCGCCGAGCAGGTGGAGCCTGATGTGGGACTTGATCCCAGGACCCAGTCGCTTAACCAACTGAGCCACCCAGGCGCCCTAATGGAATTTTTCAAGCTGAATTTAGAGAACAAACCAAAAGAGAAAAGGGACCAGTGAATCTAAAAGCTGTTCTTTTGAAAGACTAATAATAATAAACTCTTTGCAACACTAATAAAGGGAGGAAAAGTTAGAAGCAAAAATAGACTGGGAACGAAAAGATTAAAATAATTTAAGGGATCTTATGAGCAAATAACTATATAATAAAAAAATTGAAAACCTGAAAGAAATGGAAGATTTTCAAAAATCTTAATTATAGATTAAGAATAATTAAATATTTTAATTATTTATAGTTAAATAATTAAAAATAATTAAAAATAAATATATAAATAAAGATTGACCAAAAAGAAGTGGGATATTTGAAAAGTTAGGCAATGGCAGGCGGTGGTGTAGTCTGCTGGCCCAGTCCCTATCTACGTCCTCCTTTCTTCCTGGGCTCTATTAAAGAATCATAAAAAACAAAACAAAACAGCTAGATTTCCCAACTTTCATTGTAGCTACCAGTGGCCATGTGACAGTTTTAGAGCTATAAATGAAAGTGTTGGTTTCATCTCCTGCATTTTATTCTTCCTTACCGGAATGCAGTCGGGAGGCCTGGAGATGCAGCAGCCATCTTGTAAAGAGACAGCAAGCATGAGGATTAGACCATTGTTCTAAGAAGCTAAAAGTTATATGCCCTTGTTGAGGAACTGCACTACCCTAGACAGCTGTTGTGTGAGAATCATAAACCCACATTTGTTTGAAAGCTTCTGTTAGTTGAGTGACCCACCACTGAAAAAAAAAAACACATCAGGAACATAAAACAGCAGCTCTGGGAAACAGTATAGGTAACTGTGCACACGTGTACTCGTGTAAAAACCAGGAGTACAAATACAGAACACACCTGCACTGGGGAGTTAAGCTGGTTGAGTAATGGGGTGGGTGAAGGAGAAAGAGAATGTACTAGAAGCAAGGCTGATCCCATTTATGTCACTTGTGTGCCTTGGGTGGAACGCACACTTCGCGTTCCTCATTTTTCACTCCTGTTTCTGCCTAGGAAGTGTGTTAGTCTCTGAGGGTGCTGTAGGGCATTGTGGTCCCTCCAGATGGCTTGTGCACTTAACTGCCAGTCTCTTATCAGAAGGGGGAAGACCGGGTGTGGGTGACTTATGACACATGAAAGCACTTTAAAAAAGTGAAAGTGCCTTTCTGTTGTAAAATGTTCTGTTTCTCTCCCTTTTTAGGATTTAATGAAGATACTTCGCAAGGAAGCAGATTTGAAACAAATACAGACTCTAGTACAAGGAACTCATACACGACTCAAATATTCGCAAAGTGAACTAGAGATGATTAAAAAGAAGCACCTTGCTGCTTTTTACCGGGTAATATGGGCTTACAGAAAACTTGGTGGAGATGAGAACCAGGACAGAGAATTTCAGGAATTACATTTATGTAGCATCATGTAATTTTTACACTTTACCCCATGATTGAGATTATATTTTAGTTTATTTTTATGGTGGTTAATCTTGACATACAGCTGTGCCTCCATTTACCTTATCTCAGGGATCCTCCCTTTTAAAAAAAAAGATTTTATTTATTTGTTTGAAAGCACAAGTGGAGGGGAGCTGCAGAGGGAGAGGGAGAAGCAGACTCCCCGCTGAGCAGGGAGCCCCATGTGGGGCTCAGTCCCAGGACCCTGGGATCATGACCTGAGCCAAAGGCAGACGCTTAACCATCTGAACCACCCAGGTGCCCGTGGGATTCCCTTTTTATTCTAAAAGGTACCTTCACATATGTTTGTTTCACTGTATAAAGGTAAAATAGCTATGTTAAAAAGAAATCTTTCTCTTTTGTAATTAGGAACAATCTCAGCTACAAAGTGAACTGCTAAATATTGAGTCTCAGTGTACTATGTTGAGTGAAGCAATCAAAGAACGGCAACAAAGAATTGAAGAATTTCAAGAAAAGATAGATAAGGTCATGAATGGTGTATTTATTACTGATTGACATGTAAAATATAGTTCTAGACCAGATACCCGATGTAGCTTCTTGAATATATGCTAAAGCAGTTTGATAAGTGCTTAGTTTTATTGGTCTGCCAAATGAGTTTCGTTGTGTCTTTGGAGAACTACTGTTGGCCCTCTCAAGAGATAATGACCAGTGCATAGTTACTCTCTTCTGCTCTCCAGCATCTCCTTGCCCATTGTAAAAATTACAGCTTCTTTCTTCTCCCACTGACCTTAACACCAGAAAGAAAGAACCTTTCTTTCAGATTATCTTTTTAAAAAGTTACTCATTCCCTTAGCAATTATTTCTTGAACAGGCACAGTGCTTGGCTCTGAGGCAACAAAGATTTGGTCATCTAGCCTCTGCTTATAAAATGACAAGAACTTTCTGGCTTAATTCATTCTGCTGTTGATCTTCTCTAATCCTTGGAAAGTTGTCTGTCCCACCATCACTTAATAACTTCCACCCATTGCTTTAGTTCTGCCTTGTATCACAGGATTTGAAACCACACTTCCGTTGCTCCTTAATTAACTCTTTTCCAGGTTAAGTACCCCTAATGCTTTAATCATGGACTTAAGACCAGCTCTGGCAACCATCCTCTGGGTGCTCTGTTGTTTGTCAACGCCCAGAACCAAGTTTAATGTCAAAATACTGTCTGACCTGTAGAGTACCGTGGGACTCAACACACAGAACTATAACTTGCCATAGTTTTTATTATCTAGTTATGTAAATTGTAACTTATCACTGCATTAGTCATATCCCATTCATATTTAATTTATATTCAACTAAAATCTGAAAGTTTTTAACATGTCCTGCTGTTTAAAACAGGTCTCCCTTTTCCTAAAATTGTATATAAATGCAGGACCTTAAAACTATTGAGGTTAAATGTTGTTTTGTTGGATTTGGCTCATTCTAGTTCTTCCAAGTCTTTCTGAGTCTTAATTCTATGCTCCAGTCCTTTTGGCTTCTACTGCCTGAGACTCTGTATAGTATCACTCATATCTAAAGAATATTTTATTTATTTATGTAGAATGTTGTATTATGGTGTGGCTAATGTAAAGGCAATAGTTCTAACTTTGTTTCCAACGCTTCATAAAACCAAAAGTATTAATAGGCCAATTATGAGCTTTCTTATTTAGTTTTCAGAGTAAGAAATTTGAAAATAGAGGATGTAGTTTGAGGAGTTAAAGAAGAAAAAAACAACAACACTGGTTCCTCAGAGTATGATAATGCTTTTCAGATTAGTTTTTGGCCTAATATAGGAAATTCTTGGTGGGAAAAATTTAGGTTTAAGTATTGTCTGTATACTTTCTTAAAATTAATTATTAAAACCAGTTGTTTTGAAATAATTTAAAAGGTAGAAGATGAGATTTTCCAACACTTCTGTGAAGAAATTGGTGTGGAAAATATTCGTGAATTTGAGAAGAAACATGTTAAACAGCAACAAGAAATTGATCAGAAAAGGTATTTTTTTTTAAAGATTTTATTTATTTATTTGAGAGAGAGAATGAGATAGAGAGAAAGAGAGCACGAGAGGGAAGAGGGTCAGAGGGAGAAGCCGACTCCCTGCTGAGCAGGGAGCCCGATGCGGGACTCGATCCTGGGACTCCAGGATCATGACCTGAGCCGAAGGCAGTCGCTTAACCAACTGAGCCACCCAGGCACCCAGAAAAGGTATTTTTAATAGAAGATGTTAGTAAGCAACTTACACATATATAAATGTAACTGTTATTTCATTTTTTTAGAAATTTATTTATCCATTTTAGAGAGAGAGTGGGGAGGGAGGGGCAGAGGGAGACAGTCTTCAAGGAGACTCCCTGCTGAGTGCAGACCCCAATATGGCCCTTGATCTCATGATACGAGATCATGACCCGAGGCAAAACCAAGAGTTGGATGGTTAACCAACTGAGCCATCCAGGCTCCCCTGTAACTATTATTTCTTAATTTAAGGGAATTGTGCCTGAGTGAGTATTTCATTTCATCAAGAAATAGCTAGTAAACATTCATTATACATTATAAAGAGATACAGTTCTTTTATTCTGCAATTTTTTAAAGAGAAAAAGCATAAATATTACAAAATAAGAGAATGGGGACATAACTACACACATAGCATTTACTTAAAAAATAGTAAGACAATAATTTAATTATTTCTCTGTAAATATCCATGCATGTGGATAAAATTGATAATCTTCAAGAAATAACATGTTCCCAAGATAGAAAAATGTAAGGAGGCCAGCTGCCATAGGAAAAAAACGTAAAAAAGCCTCCTACCCAGCACTCTCTTCCCCAGATTCACCAGGCACATACGGTTTCACAAATGAATCATCCCAGTAAACTTTAAAGGCACAAGTAACTTCAACATTTAACATTTAAACAAATGTTCAATATTTAAACTGCTTCATAGTATAGAAGAGGAAGAAACATCTTTTTGTGAAATGAACATTATTTAATAATATTGATGCAAAAATTTTTAAAAAAGGTATGTTACAGATACCATAAGAAACTCATTCTTACCTATAAATAACCAAATAAGGTTACCTAGAAACAAGCAGTAAAACAACACAGCAAAAGAATACACCATTATCTAGTGTAGACTTCATTCGAGAAATAAAAGGGTAGTTCAGTATCAGGAATTATTGCTGTAATTTGCCATATTAATGATCAAAGAAGAAAAATAAGAAGATGAAGGCACTTGACAGAATTCAGCATCCATTCTTGATTTAAAAATCCTAAAATGTAACTATTTGTTACATGAGAAAATACACCCTATTCTTTTTTTTAATTTTTAAATTCATTTAGCCAACATATAGTACATCATTAGTTTCAGATGAAATACACCTTGTTCTAAGCATCATGTTTTCATGGAGTAGCACTAGAAGTGTTCCTAGTAAAGTTAGAAATGAGAAGAATATTTGATATCACCGCCATTACCTAACGCTCTTCTGGAAATCCTAGTCCATTGAGTTAAACAATAAATATAAATAAGGTATAAACATTTGCAAAGGAGGGAATAAAATTTCCACTATTTGTGGGTTATATGGTATATATCTAGAAATTCCTAGAAAACAAATTAGAAACTGAAATTCTTAGAAAACTGTTAGAAACAAAAGACTTCAGTAATGTGGCTGGATATAAACATTAATATGAAAACTTTAAATTAAAAATTAATATAAAAATTAATTTAAAAATTTTTAGACTTTCTATATAAAAACTACCAGGAAGATAATTTGTAGGGAGAAAAATATCTCAATTATTAAGAGATGGAGAAGGAAAAGTACTTAGTGCTTAGGAGTAAACTTACTAAATGTGAAAGTATATAAAGAAACTTTCAGGGGCACCCGGCTGGCTCAGTTGGTGAAGCATGCGATGCTTGATCTTGGGGTTGTGAGTTTGAGCTCCACATTGGGGACAGAGTTTACGTAATAAAAGTTTTTTTTATATAATATTTTAAACAAGACAGAGAGATAATAATCTTGAATAAAAAGAAAAGGCATACTAGTTTTTTCATAGGAAGATTCAACATTATAAAGAAGTTGGTTCTCCCTAATTTAATCTCTAATTTACATATCATCTCAATACATGTATGGACAAGGATTTTTTTAACTAGATAAGCTGATTCTAAAGTTCACATTCAGAACTAGCTAAGAAAAATCTGGAAAAGGTAATGAGAAAGGACTAGAAGTCCCAGATTTTAAAACATGTATAAAGTTGGATTAATTAAAATCTTGAAGTGCTTGCTCACAAGTGGAATCCAGAAATATACTCGGATCTATAAGGGAAATTTGATTTAATATAAAGCTGGCATTTCATATCAGTGGAAAAAAAATATACTCTTCAGTAAATCATGTTGGGAATACATGTGTTTGCAACCTGGAAAAAAACCTACTTGGATCCCTGTCTCATTCCTTAGATTAATGCCAGCTGAATCAAAGATTTCAATAAATAAAATGAAGGCATAAGAATACTAGAATAAGTCATAAGAGAATTTTTAAAAATAATCTCAGATCAGAGAAGGTCTTTCAGTATGACATAAATGCTGGAAGCCACAAAAGAAAAAATGCAAATGTATGAAATAACATGTTTTGCATGGCAACGGCACCATGAAGAAAATCAAGACAAATGACATTCTGGGGAAGAATATATGTACATGTATGTGTTTAGAGATCATTAAGAGTGGTTGCCTCTGAGGAGACTGAGAGGAAGGGATAGAGATATTTTACTTTTTGTGTATTCTTACATCTTTTTAACTTTGTACCATAGCCATGTATTATTTATTTGAATATAACTGCATTGGAATTATGACTATAAATTCTGAATTGAAGGGCACAATAGTGATGACAATGTTGTATTGTAGGTCAAAGGACAGTCCCTTTGCCCAAGGTATAGTCATTTTATATTTAAAAGGAGTCAAAGTCATGCAGAAATAAGAAAGCATTTATGACTGCAGATTATTTAAGATCTAGACTTTACTGTACTTATCTAGATGATTGGTTTATTTTGTATTAGGCACTTCTCTTTTTTTCAGTTTTATTGAGATATAATTGACATACATCACTGTGAAGGTGTACAGCATAATGATTTGAATTAGGTGTATTGTAAAATGATTACTGCATAAGTTTAGTTAACATCTTTCATTTAGATACAAAAGTCAAATATAATTTTTATTCTTACTTATGTTTTTACTTTTTATTTCCAATATAGTTAACATACAATGTTATATTAATTTCAGGTGTACAATATAGTGATTCAGTAGTTCCATATGTTACACAGTGCTCGTCGAGATAACTATGCTCTTAATCCCCTTTACCTATTTCACGCATCCCCTCACCCACCTCCCCTCTCAGAACTTTTGTTCTCTATCGTTAAGAGTCTGTTTTTTGGTTTGTCTCTCTTTTTTTTTCCTTTGTTCATTTGTTTTGTTTCTTAAGTTCCACAGAGGAGTGAAATCATATGGTATTTGTCTTTCTCTGACTTACTGCACTTAGCATAATACTCTCTAGCTCTATCCATGCAAATGGCAAGATTTCATTCTTTTTTGTTGCTGAATAATATTCCATTGTATATATATATACCACATCTTCTTTATCCATTCATCAGTTGATGGACATGTGGGCTGCTTCCATAATTTGGCTATTGTTGATAATGCTGCTGTAAACATAGGGGTGCATGTATCCCTTTGAATTAATGTTTTCATATTCTTTGTGTAAATACCCAGTAGTGTGATTACTGGATTGTAGGGTAGTTCTATTTTTAACTTTTTGAGGAACCTCCATACTGTTTTCCACAGTGGCTGCACCAGTTTGCATTCCCACCAAAAGTGCATGAGGGCTCCCCCTTCTCCATGTCCTCGCCAACACCTCTCGTTTCTTGTGTTTTGATTTTAGCCATTCTGACAGGTGTGAGGTAATATCTCACTGTGATTTGTATTTTCCTGATGATGAGTGATGCTGAGCATTTTTTCATGTGTCTGTTAGCCATTTGTATGTCTTCTTTGGAGAAATGTCTGTTCATTTCTTCTGCCCAATTTTTATTTTATTTTTTTAAGATTTTTTATATATTTATCTGAGAGAGAGAGCATGAGCGGGGGGAGGAGGGGCAGGGCAGAGGGAAAGGGAGAAGCAGGCTCCCTGCTGAGCACAGAGCCTGATGCAGGGCTCAATCCCACGACCCTGAGATCGTGACCTGAGCTGAAGGCAGATGCTTGACTGACTGAGCCACCCAGCTGCCCCTGCCCATTTTTAATTGGATTATTTTATTTTGGGGTGTTGAGTTGTGTAAGTTCTTTATATATTTTAGATCCTACTCTTTATTGGATATGTTATTTACAAATATCTTCTCCCATCTAGTAGGTTGTCTTTTAGTTTTGTTGACTTGTTTCCTTTGCTATGCAGAAGGTTTTTATCTTGATGCCGTCCTAATACTTTATTTTTGCTCTTGTTTCCCTTGCCTCAGGGGACCTATCTAGAAAAAAGTTGATATGACCAATGTCAGAGACATTACTGCCTGTGCTCTATTCTAGGATTTTTATGGTTTCAGGTCTCACATTTAGGTCCTTAATTCATTTTGAGTTTCTTCTTCGTATAGAGTATAAAAGAAGTGGTCCAGTTTTCCCAATACCGTTGCATACTCTTTGTTGAAGATTAATTGACCATATAATTGTGGGTTTATTTCTGGGCTTTCTGTCCCGTTCTTTTGATCTGTGTGTCTGTTTTGTGCCAGCACCATACTCTGCTTTAAGTACTACAGCTCTGTAGTATAACTTGAAACCTGGAATTGTGATACCTCCAGTTTTCTTTTGCTTTTTCAAGGTTGCTTTGCCTTTTAGGGGTCTTTTGTGGTTCCATACAAATTTTAGGATTATTTGTTCTAGTTCTGTGGAAGATGCTATTGGTATTTGGATAGGATTGCATTAAATCTGTAGATTGCTTTGGGTAGTATAGACATTTAGACGGTATTTGTTCTTC